CTCGGTCCTGCTCCAACTCCCAGTCTCCTGGCTGAGTGGCCAAGGGCAAGACTTTGCCTGCTCTGGTCTTTCCCCACTCCCTGAGGCCACCATTTAAAGTGAACTTGGGCGTGCTGTCGACAGACTTAGACAAAGAGAGAAGTGCTGGGCTGGAGGGTGGAGTCATGAAACTCCCATGCACCTCTGATCCTGGGAGACCTCGGGCACCCCAAAACCTCTGAGTGGTGCCTTTTGGTAATGAAACCAACACAAGGCTTGATACAACAGATGTAGATGAGACATCTTGGCTTCCCCATGATGCCAGGGAATGATTATGTGTGGTAAAAGTTTGTGCAGAGAGAGAAAACTGTCTTATTTTTATACTTTATTTATTTACTTTTTAGGTTTTTTGAGACAGGGTCTTGGTCTATGGCTCAGACTGGCCTCAAACTTGCAGCAATCCTCCTGCTTCTCTCTGCCTTACAAGTGTTGGGATTTCAGGTGTGTGCCACCACACCTGGCAAGAAGGTTGTTTTGAAAAAAAGAGTTCCACAGTCCTGTGGAGCAGGAGTGATGGGGGCTGCATGCCACCTGGCCCTGGCCACCCCACCTTGTCCTCCACCTGGCACTCAGCCCACAAGCACTTCATTCTGCCGGGGGAGAAGTGTGTGCCCAGGAGCACAGGGTGTGGCCTGGGAGTTCATGTGTGGGCTGTGGGCACCATGTGCACATGCGTATGCATGCGTGCATGTATATCTGTACACACCTGCACATGGCATGTGCCAAGTGTGTGCAAAAGCAATCTACAGAACCTGGTAGCTTGGGTTCAAACCCCTGAGACATCTGGGGGCTCTGTGGTCTTGTCCAGGTTACTCCCCTCTCTGAGCCTCGGTTTGCTCACTAAAGCAGTGAGAGGAGGATAAATAACTGCACACGTGTCACAGGGATGAAAGCCATGTGGCGTGTTGCTGGAGTTCAAAGAACTACCTGTGGTTTTGTGTACCCAGCTGACACCGCACTCTCATTCACTCATTCTCTCGTTGATCGTCCGCTGATTCCACTGCTGGGCCAGGCCAATCTGTGCTCAAGGCTAAAGCTGAGAAGTGAGCCGGACAGGCTCCTCACCTCCAGGAGCCTCCACAGTGATGGGGTGAGAGACCTAGACATGGATGGGAAGGGAGAGCGGGGGTCTGAGTTATTGACCTTCCCTTCCCTTCCCTTCCCTTCCCTTCCCTTCCCTCCCCTCCCCTCCCCTCTCCTCCCCTTCCCTTCCCTTCCCTCCCCTCCCCTCCCTTTCCCTCCCCTCCCTTCCCTTCCCTTCCTTCTTTTCTTTTCTTTTGTGGTGCAAGAGAAACTAGGGGATTGAACCTCAGATGGTGTACATGCAAGGCTAGTGTTCTACACTGAGCTACATCCTAGCTTACTTATTTATTTTTGAGGCAGGGTCTCACTGTTTTCCAGAATAGGCCCTAACTTGTGATCCTCCTGCCTCAGCCTCCCAAGTAGCTGGGATTATGGGCTTGAGCCGCCAACAAAGCAGAACATATGTTCTGGAGGCAGCTGGGAGGTAAAGGGAGGGCAAAAAAGAGGAGGGGTGCCACCTTTGGTGCCCCATGCACCAGCACCTTGTGTGGGGCTGCTCCCCACTTCCTAGCTCTACGCCTGTGCCCAGGGCTCCCTCTGGCCAGCCTCTGCCGGGGGGGGGGGCGCTGTGCATCTCTGAAGTCCCCACCTGCAGTGTCTCCCCCATCACTCCCCCAAGTGGTGCTTGGCTCTGGCCACCTCCCTAATGTGGGGGGAACTGCTTACCCGACATGTGGCTGGTGCATGGGGCCTTGTGTCTTCCCCTAGGTCCATCATCAGCTAGCTGTGCGACCTTGAGCACCCTCTCAGGCCTCTGTGTCCCATTTGTTCTAGGGACAAGTAAGAGGACAGAAGGACAGAATGCTTAGGAGATGACTTCACACACTGTCAATTGCTGGGCGCAGAGATTTGATTCCCACACTGCCTTCCCTCTCCTGGAGGAGCCCAGTGGTGAGGACACCCACAGGTCCGGGCTGGAGCTCTAGTGTAGGGCGGTTTCTGTTGGATTTGTTTGTGCTTGATTTCAAAGACAAGGAAACTCCCTTGCCCAGGTGATGCAGGCAGCCCAGGTCAACAGTGTTGCCAGGGAAATTCCAAGGGCTGGGGGCGCCCATCGCCCCTACAGTGATCAGGTGACTCCACCTCCCCCAGGAAGGAGGCTCAAGGTCGCTGAGGGACAGGCTGCCCCTGGAGTCAGGTGATCTTGGTGGGTCCTGCTCCTGGGAATATTAGGCCAACTGCCTTTCCCCTGGGGCCTTGCCGTAAAGCAGCTGCACAGGATTTATGATTTGGGGAGCCCTTTATATCCCAAAGGGGCACTGAGGCTAGCATGGCCACCCCAGCCCCCACCCCTCTTGCCAACCTCCCTGCTTCACACACACACACACACACACACACACACGCACGCACGCACGCACGCACGCTCTCCTCTCTCTGCTCCACCTGTGACCTGCCCAGGAAACCCTTCTTTCTAGGGACCTTCCCAGCCAAGAGGCACTCACTGGGCTCCTCTTCTGGGTACGGGACTCTGCTCTGTGTCACTGTGGATTTACAGAAACCATGTGTATTTGTCAGGGTCTACCCCACATCCACCAGGTTCAGGACCCGGCTGAGCCCCACTACCCCGAAGGCATCCCAAGGTCTCCCAGGACACCCGACTTTCCCTCCCCAGTCAATGACTGCCTGTACCCCTTTCCAGAAGTCAGCGGGCTCCTGGGCTCTGCTGGTTTCTTCCCAGCATACCCAGCTCTGGAGGAGAAGGTCACTCAGTTATCCTAGCCCCATCTGGCTGCGGCTCCAGCCTGAAAGCCATCTCCTTGGGACTGCAGCACAAATGTCCTGCCATCGAAGGTGGCCTGCTTCCTAGGCCATGCAGGCCCAGCTAATGGGTATCTTTTCAGCCATTCCAGTTCTATTAGACCCCGTGCTGACCTGCAGACTGACATTTCCCATGGCAGATATTCTATGTGCTGGCTCCCAGAGGGCTGGGAATGGCAGACTCCAGAGTGACCAAGAGAGACAGTCTCTACACAGGCCATAGCTCAGGGAAGGACTGTCCTGTCTCAGTCTAGCTTCAGCAATTCATAACCATGTGACTGTGGCATAGCACTTTCCATCTCAAAGCCTCAGTTTTCTCATCTGTAAAAGGGAGGCAATGATGCTTGCTTTCTCCAGTGGTCTAAGCCAGATGACACTTGGGAATGCTTGCCTCTTTGTGGGTATGTGGGTGGTGGAGCTATGCTGGCGATGGTGCTGGCAGGGAGGGAAATGTTAGTCACATTTTGCACATAAGGAAACGGAAGCCAGAAAAGGAATGGGTTTCTAGGTCAGAAATCTTGCAAGACTCAAGAGTCTGTGGTGACAACTTTCCTTCCCTACCTCTGCCCTGTGTTCTCACAGGGACACATCCCCTCGCATCCCATTCTCACAGTGAGCCGGTGGAGCATGCCCTGTTCTTCCCATTCCTCTGCAGGTAAGGAGGCTGAGCTCAGAGAGGGGAGGTGACTTGCCCAATGTCACACAGCCAATGAGTAGCAAAGCCTCGGTTTGACCCTTGGTGGTCTGGCTACAGATTAGGAGTTCCCAGCCTTGGTGCAGGGGCCCTTACCAATCAGCTTTGCCCAGGAAAGAGGAGTTCACACCACAACCTGGCGAAGTTACCCAGGTCCCAGACCAGCAGCGGGATGGGGGTGGGGCAGAAAAGGAGGAGGCAAGGACCTCCGCTTGAGACACCCAGGGTGGAGTCAGGACTCTGCCAGCATCTATCCTAGAGGGCTTGCTAACTCATTGTGCTGCTACATTTTAACAGTAAAACAGGAACTGTGGTACCATTGTGCAGATTAAAAAGTTGAGGCTCACAGAGTCAAAGCAACTTGTCCAAGTTCATGGAATGAGTAAGTGGAAGACATGCACTTGCCAGTTCAATTTCTCCTGTCTAAGCAATTCTCTCCCTTGCTTAATTCATTCTCACTTCATGGGCTCTGTTCTCTCTCCTCTTCCCTTCAAGTTACCAACTTACCAATTGGTAACCCACCCCAATTTCTGCTGGGGCTATACTGTGAACACCCTGAGGCCAGAAATCGCATCTGGCTCACACACTGCTGTGTCCTCAGGGCCTGGAGTAACCACAGATGCAAACCCTGGGTGATCCGTGGGTGCTCACTGTGCTGCAGAAGGAATTCTAAGAGGTTACTGTTTTCTCACCTTGGTGTCAGTGGTCAGCTGGGCTGACTTGGAGATCTCTGCCATTGAGAAAGACAATTCGGGTGATCTTTACCCAAATACAAGCTAAGAAGCGAAAGTGGTGAATTATTGATGTGTTTTCGGTGTGTTTTGCATTAACAAGATAGCTCCACTGTTTGGCATCACGTAGAGCCCTGGATCAGTGTGTAATAATCCCAGAGATCTTTTCACAGTGCCCCCTCCTCTTCTCTGTGAGGGGGACTCAGAAACAGGTGGGTGGACCGGAGTGGCTGTGAGAGCGGCCAGAAGAGGAGAGAAGAACCCAGCTGGAGGGGAGGCGGGGCTGGTGATCTGAGAATGATTGCAGGAGGAGGACAGAGACATGTGGGGTCCATCTACCTCTTGGCCAAACATCACCAAACATTTACGGGAGAGCTCCTGCAGCCTCAGTACCGAGCGCTGTGCAGGGCTGACCTGTGACTGCTTTCGGAACCTCCCCTTCAGGGATGCTGCTCCCTGAGGGTGTCCTCTGGGCTGCACAGAACCAAGCCTCACCAGCAGCACCGTGTGGCAGGGTCAAAATGAGAGTGCTCCGTGGCATCTGCTCGCTTTGCCCATTCCTAGAGTTGAAGGCAGAGCTGGCCTGCTTTCAGTGAGATCCTCAGCCTGTCCAGGGCTGTGGAGGGCCTGGCAGGTTACTGGACTTCTTGCTCAAGAAGACAATTACCACAGTTTACAAAGTTTTTGTCCCTTTATTCTCTTCTGAGCCTCACACCAGCCCTGGGAGACAGTGGGTCAAGGGAGCCTAGGAAATGGAGACTCAAAGAGAGTCTTGACTTGAGGCCACCAACGAGCACCATCCCACCCTGCTGTGCTGCCCACACCACCTCCCAGGGATGCCAGATGCCAGTTTCCTGCCCTGTCTGCTCACAGCAGCATCAGGACCACGATGGCAATGAGCATTAGGATGCCAGCGAGGATGCAGAGGCCCAAGAAGACGATGTCACTAGTGTCCTGGGCTACCATGGTCACTGGGCGCTCCAGTGCCTCCTCCTCATCCCTGGGCGGTGCCTCCTGAAGGTGCTCGGCCGCGGCAGCATAGGGCCCAAGCCAGTCAGAGCCGGACAGCAGATGGACAGAAGCTTCCTTGCGCCGCGGCTCGCAGCGGACCTCGTACTCATGGACGTCCTCCTGCCCAGCCACCGAGAAGTCGATGTACAGCACACTGACGATCACCGAGGTATTGTTTCTCCTCTGCAGGGTCACAGGGCACTCGCTAGCACCGGCCAGGCCTGTGCCCCTAGGTTTGTGTAGCCCTGGGTTCCAGCTCTAGCTGGACTCTAGCCCCAGCCTGAGCCTAAGTGTCCTTGCTTCAAAGGGGGCACTCTGAGGACAGGCTGTCTGCCCTGGAGGGCCATGTCAGAGTCACAAGCAACTGTCTGCTCTGGCTTGAGGATGCAGGGTTGATAAAAGTTGTTAACAATAATAACAGCTAACATTTGGGGCCATCTCCTATGTTCTGGGCTCTGTATTTTAAGTGCACTGTATCTTTTCATTCTCACAGTAACATGTTTTGTTTGTTTGTTTTTATTTTTGTGTTTTTTTGAGATAGTGTCTCACCCTGTAGCACAGGGTGGCTTCAAACTCATGTCGATCCTCCTGTTCCTGCTCCCCCAGTGCTAGGCCCACAGGCCTGTACTACCACACCCTGCTAACGCTCCTATTGGTACTATAAATATGCATATTTTACATGTGAGGAAACTGAGGCCCAGAGATAAAGTCTCTTGTCTGAGATTGCACTGCAGACAAGTGACAGAGACCATATTCTCCTCCAGCACTGCCAACTCTTAATGGTGCTCCTAACATCTCGCTTCACGCAGACCAACGAGCATCTAACGAATCCCATCAGGTCAGGGATGTGACTACGAGGCCTACTGACTTGCCCACAGTGAGGTCCAGAAGCAAGTCCCCTGCCTCTCAGCAGCTTTGCCCTTCCTGTCCTACGGCCTTGTCTGGGCTCTTTCTTCTCCATTACCTGTCCAGCAGCGTCCTTGCTTTGAGCCACTCAGGACACCACCCTACTGTTGGAAGAGCCCCGAAGAGGGACATGTATGTAAAGGGGCCGAGGAAGCAGGGATCTGAGTGCCCTGAGTAGGGCCAGGGCAAAATCGTGGTGGGCAGAGCGGCAGGGTATAGGGCTATTCCCACCCACGCTGAATCCACAGCAGCCGTTACACTTCCAGACTGCCCAGCTCCTCCCTCCAATGGGCGCCTCTTCTAGGATGTAGTTCTAAAAGTCCACGCTGTCCAAGTCAGTGGGAGCAGCTGTGAGTGAGGGGCTACCATCATTCGGCCCCCTTGGGAAGGGTGGAAGGGGGAGGTCACCATCAGGAGCTTCATGGACCGGTGGCGTGGGAGTCTCAAGCTCTGATCTCCTCAAGGGACCCTTCTGCATCTGCACCTCAGCCTGGCTCCCTTCCCAACCTCTGAAGGGGTTTGGGGACATGGGGCAAAGTTAGACAGAGCTGAGAGCAGAACGAGACCCACCAGAGAACTGAAATCAATCTGCATAGTAAAGGAGAGAAAATCCCAGTGGAGGGGTGGGGGAAAGCAGGAGGTTCTGACAAGTGACAGCCTTGGGAGGGAGGGGAGCCCAGAGATGTGGCACTACAGCGGGGAGGCTCCGTGGGCCCCTGAGCGGTTCAGAGGGAGGCGTGGCAAGGCTCCCGCGGCTCTTGGCCATCTGAGCCTCTGGAAAGCAGCTCCATGCAGAGACGGGGCCTCCTGGTCTAGGCTGATGAGGGTAACACTAAGCATCTAGGGGCCCACGGCTCTCAGGTTTTATATTTCCATGCAACTGACTCCGCGATTCTGTGGCTCTATGGTTCTGGCCTCTGGTGGTGGCTTGGTGACTTAGAGACTAGGGGCCACCTGCCCTTGGTTCACGAGTACAGGATCCCTTGTTTCAGGGATTCTTTGTTGCTCTTATCCTATGATTCTATTTCTTTCTCCCAAAGAAAACTCTGGGGGTCACTAGCGTGGAGCTGGGGTGACCACAGGAGGTCTTGGTAGCCTGAAGACCTCCCCACCTCCATAGCCTCTCAGGTCCAAGGGTGGGTGCTGAGCAGCAGGGGGCAGCAGGGCAGCAGGTTCGGGGGGGGGGGGGGGGGGCGGGGCTGCTGGCGCACCTGGTGCTGGAAGCCAGGATCTAGGCCAGGAGTCTCTCCGGCAGACCCCACCGTCCAGCCCCCTGCCTTTTCTGACCCATTCATCAGAGCACAAACATCCAGGATGCTTGGTCCACTGCCCAGGGACTCTGAGCAGTCCGGGCCTGGGTTCCGGGCCTTTGAAATCCATGAGTAGCAGAACGTGGTCACGCACAGTGCTTGCAGCACAGGGTATCATTTGGACCCTATTATTCAAAGGCCCTTTTGTTTGCAAAGCTGGGATGGATTTGGAGCACCAGTTGGACAGGGTGGGTAAAGTTGTGTAGGGTTCTGATGCTCTGCATATTAAAGGGTTGAGGAGCTGGGTCCTCTGGGGGGCTCCCAGGGAGAAGGGGGGACAGCAAGGAAGTTTGTGGTGTTCACCTCTAGGCCCCCTGAGAGGTGTGCAAGGAGGCTGCGGGCTGTGCCTGGCCATCGCAGGGACCCTCTCTTCCATTTCTACTATCTGAGTTCTTAACTGCTGCAGCTACCCTGAGCAAGGCTGTGGAAATCAGAAAACTCAGGAAGAGGTGAGTCCCGTACCGGCTGAGGCAGAAGCCCAGGGACAGCAGGGCTGAGCCCCAGCTTATGCCGGCCCTCTTGCCCGCCCGCTGGGCCCCTACCTGAGACTCCGTACCGCAGGTGTCAAAGCGGGCCTGGATCCGGAAGTTGCTGCCAACTTCCTGGGCAGCACAGTTCCGGCTGCCCAAGTAGACCTTGGTCCGCTCCAGCGGGGCCAGCGCCTGCGCAGAGATCAGGATCTGGAAGTCTGTGCGGGAGCAGCTCACGTTCATGGGCACCACTGGGAATGAGAGGGAGGAGCCAGAGGCTGCAGGGGCGGGGCTGACCCCCACCTCCCCAGAGGAGCGAATGAGGAAACTGAGGCTCAGAGGGGGAAGGCCCTCATGGAGACCGGTAGAGCCCAGTGCAGGATGTGTTACAAATGTGAGCACTTGGGCAGTGAACTCCCGCGGGCAGACACTGTCTGATCCTCTCAGCCTCCTCTGAGCCCAGTGAAAGTTAAATGAATGAATGAACTGAATAAATGAACATACTTAACCATAATAAAGCTACTATTTGCTAGTTACCTTGCCATGTGCCTGGCAATCCATTCAATCGGTCCTTTATTCAGTCATGTCGTAAACATCTATGGATGGCCTACTATGCACAGGCTGCTATGCTAAGCACGAGAGAAAAGACGTAAACACAACAAAAAATCCAGCCCCAATCCCTGCCCTGCTGGAATTCTAGTTGGCAGAGGGGGTAACACATATGTAAAATACACGTTAAGTGTAGAGGGCTCTGAAGGGAAAAATCAGGAAAAGACAGAAGTCAGAAGAGCGGCACGGGGGAGGACGGGAAGGTGCAGGTCTGAAGAGGGAAGGGAGGGAACCCAGTGTCCCTTCCTGTGGTGACCCTGTGAGGAGGATCCACTAACCCCATTTTATTCTAGAAGTGCAGCTCTGAAAGGCAAAGTTGTTTGCAGGGCCTACATTGAGGTTTTAGTCTTTGGGTTGCCAGGGCCCCCCAAGTGCATGGTCTCTCAAGCTATTTGGCAGCCAGGGCAGAGTGGGGGTCTGGCTTGTGTGTCTGGGTCTGTGTGAGGGTGTGTAAGAGTGTGTGAGTGTGTGTGCTCGTAGGGGCACTCGGGTGGGTGTGAATGGTGGGAGGAAGCAGAGACCTGGCAGCGGATGCCTGATGGCTCAGTCCGTCTCCCGGAAATGCCTCAGACATATTTCAGCTCTGGTGTCTGGGCAGCCAGGGATTTATGGGGCCGCCGGCTCCCGAGACGATCTCCGTAGGGCTGAACTGTGTGTCACCCCAGGCTTGCTGTGCTGCCCTCCCAGAGGGGAGACTGCTAGCAGCCTGGTCTTCATCTGGAGTCTGGCTGGGAAGTTAGTGGCCCATATGACCCTGGGGAGGGGTGGCTTCGGGTGGGGGCTCCTGCACACAAGGTCCTGGGGTGAGCCAGGACCAGAGCCTGCCTGATCTCCATCTTTGCCATGCTGCAGGGGGATGGGTTGGTCCTTGATTAATGGGTTGAGAGGAGTCAGACCTGTGGGGAAGACTAGCAGAGGCAGGGACTCTAAGGACCCTGTGTCCCTGTCCTCACTTTACCAGTGGGAGACCGAGCCTGGAGAAAGGACAAGCCAGAGCCCCAGGGCACCCTCAGCTCCTGGCTCCCGAGCCCCTGCCTCCTAGAACCCGACAAGGGCATGGTGCTGAAAGGGCCCTGCCATCTGTTCCTCCTGCAGGGACAGAGCCTGCCAAGCCCAGAGGGGCGGGGTCTGCCCAAGGCTGCTTCTTGACCCCCAGCTAACTGTAGCTCTCTTTCCCTCATCGCTGGGGACCCAAGCTCCTCTGTCCATTCGGAAGGAGGACAGGTCCTAACAGGTCTGGGACATACGAGGGCAGAGGTGCTCAGGGCCAGGCCTTGGGACTTGTGTTCCCTCATTAATCTTTGTAACTGTCTGTCTAGGATATTTATCAACAACTGTACCTTCTTTTGTGGTACAGGGGATTGAATCAGGGACTGATATGTGTCCTAGCTTTTATTTATTTATTTATTTGAGACAGAATCTCAATAAGTGGTCAAGCACCCTAGGATGGGGTCAAATTTGTGATCCTCCTGCCTCAGCCTCCCAGAGTGCTGGATTTACAGACATGCACCACCACACTCAACTTCATTAACCCTTTTTTTTTTTTTTTTTGTCTTTTTCCTTTTTATCAGTACCGGGGATCGAACTCACGACTGCCTGCTTGCAAGGCAGGTGCTATGCTGCTGAGCTAAATCCCCAGCCCCTAACCCTTTTTACAAATACACCTGTGTGCATGGTCAGTCAATGGCCACCTCTGGGTGTGGCCCTGGTCTGCTTGTGCTCAGTCCAGGCAGCCTCCTTGTGTCCTGCTCAGATACACAGAAGGCAGGAAGTGAGTTCTAGTCCCACCTGTGCCCTGGCAGCCTGTGAGACTATGAGGACGTCGGATCCCTCTCAGAGCCTCCATTTCCGTATCTCCACAGTGAAGGCCCAGAGTGCAACAGGTCTAGGCACAGGCATCCAGGGCCCACGGCCCAGGGAGGGTGGCGGGAGGAGAGGAGAGATGGTGGCACTGTTCCTGACCAACCAGAGCTCAGCCTCCCCGGACCTTCTGAGGCAGGCTCAGCCATCTGAGTTCAGAGCAAGCAGACAGGAAAATCTGGTGAGGGCTTCTGGACATGCTTTTGCCTTTCTGATAAAAGGACACTTTGGGAGGATTCCACTCCTACCCTCTTCCAGCCTCTGCCATGGACATGATGAGCAGAGCAGCGGTGGTCATGTTGCAACTATGAGACTGAGCACTCCAGAGATACTGTTTGGGGTAGTGTTGTGTGCCTGAGCCAGTACAGTAGCTGCCTGGCTCCAGACTTCCTGTGTAGGGACAAACAAGGGCTGCTTGTTCCATCAGTGTCTCAGAAGGACATGAGAAGGCTGCTAGGCTTCTCCACGCTCCACCAACCATTGCTATAGAGAGCATTGCCATGCCTCGGGTATGACCCGTGGGCACAGGGGATCAGCCATGATAGGAGAGGAGCCGGGGCTCGTGGGGGAAGGGGACAGGTGGGGAGGAGTAGGAATCCCCAGTTAGGAACCGAAGAAAGAGGCTCCTACCACTACAACAATGGCTCCAGGAGGTGGCAGCTGAGGTCAGCAGAGGAGGGACTGGAGGGTACCTAGAGGTGGGCACAAGTCATGGGATGGAGGTGAACCCCACTCACCTCCAATGTAGGCCACGGAGAAGCCCCTGCCTGTGGTGCTGCGGTCTGTGTGCAGGACCAGCAGGAGCTGGTTGTGGCTGGAGGTGACCGGTGGCGGTGAGTGGCGGCCACACCACTTGCCAAGCAGAGGTGCGTCCTCACTGGCCCCATCAAAGGCTGCCAGGTGGTCAAAATCACAGGTCCTGGTCAGGCTGTTGGGGTCCTCCAGGTCCAGATCTAGGAAGAATGCCTTGACCCGGTAGCCTGGGGGCAGACGGACTGTCCAGTGGCACTGGATGTTGTTGGGATAGGAGCTGGGGTACTGAGGGCTGGAGAAGTTGCCCCGCACGGCCACGTACACCTCCTGGCATTCTCCTGGGTGCGGGAGGAGATGGGAGGAGCAACAGGGAGGAGGGAGAATTGCCCAGTGGAAAGAAGTTGGGTCATCAGGGTCCCTGAGGGGGACACCGGGACCCTAGTCCCTTCCTGACTCTCTTTTGCTTCCTGGCTGCCATGAAGTGAGCAGCTTTGCCCCACCATGATGTCCTGCCTCACTAGAGGCCAAAGGCAATGGTCAGCCTACCACAGCCTGAACCTCTGAACAGGGAGCCAGAAGAACCCTTTCCACCGTAGCTAAATCGGCTCTCCAAGGTATTTTGTCACAGAAACAGAGCTCTGACCAATGAACCCATTTGTACTCTATCCTTGCCTCCACCTCCCAGGGCTATGAGCGCAGCCCAGACTCTGCCCTTTGGCTTCCCACATGGCCTCCTCCCGCTAACTCCCTCCTCCCCCCGCTGACTTCCTGAGGCACTGCCCCCACCTCTCCTCCTCCAGGAAGCCTCCTGTGACTCTTGCTATTAGCACATGTCACCGTGGGTCATCCTCCCTCATTGTCTCCCGTCTCCCCCCTGGACTAGGAACCGTCTAAAGTTTCATTCATTCTTTCCGCTTCCTACATTCTAGATAAGGAGAAGCCTGTAAGGAACTCATAGGCGAGGAAGATGGACGTCCAAACCACAGGAATGGTATGTGTGAGGGCACAGTGTACAAATTTCTCTGAGTTCTTGAGCAGTGATCTCAGTGAATCGAGTCTCAGTGAATCGAGAAGACTTTGGCCTCTGGCAGGAAGAGTATGCTGGAGAACCAGAAGACAGTGACCAGCCCCAAGCCCCAAGAGACAAGCCTGTGGTTCTACCAGTGTAATAGGGAGGCCCAGGGTCAGGGGGGCTGCTTACCTGAGAAGTAGTGGGCCTTGAAGCCTCGGCCTCCAATGTTGAAGTCTGACTTAAAGACCACCTGAAGCTCACTGCCTAGTGACACAAGGGTTGGGGGCCTGGTGCCACCACAATAGTGCTGCCCATGGGCTGGCCCGGGTCCCCCGAGCACAGCCACGTAGTCATAGGTACACTGCTCACTGGCCTCCACCTGGAAGTCCATGAACACCAGCTTCACCGTGGCTGGCCCCGTGGCCCGGATCACCCAGCGGCACTCCATGTTGTTGGGGTAGTTGTTGGGGTACTCAGGGCTGGCAAGGACCCCCGACAGGCCAGTCAGGACGCCACCACACACATCTGTAAGAGAACCCTCTTGGATGAACTTTCCCTCTCCCCAAAGCTCCAAACCCCCAGCCCACAACACACACCCCAAATGCTGCTGCTAGAGGGATGTCATGGGATCCTCACCACCACCCAGCGAACTCTGGTGTGTGGCAGGGACCTGTGCCAAGTCACCTTCGCACACTGCACCCTAACCTGGCCAGGAGGATGCTGCAGCCTCCCCATTCTACAATGAGAAAATGAGGCACTAGGAGTTAGATACCACACCTGTCTGTGTTGGGGCTGCCTCAGCAGACCCGAGACAAGGACTGGGCAGAGCAAGTTTATCTAAGAGATCTGGAGAGCAGGGAGGTGAGTGTGAGGCTGGAAGGAGCTGGGCTGGGAGCCAGCTGTGAACCCCCTTGCATGGCCCAGGGATGTCGCTCTAGGGAGAGGAAGCTGTAGCATTAGTATCCTGTCTCCTAAGCCTAGGCCAAGGGTTGCTGGGGTTGGAGGCCTGCTGGGATTTTAGAACAAAGCCTGAATGCATGCATACAGAGGCTGGCAAGACACAAGGCCTAGAGGCCAAGCACAGTGCCCTGAGAGGATGTCCCAGGCCAGAAGGAAGATTAACCGGAGTCCTCTCACTCCATACCGGGACAGAGCTCTCCCATCGGGTCAGTGGGGCCCAGGGGCTAAGGCACCCAAATCAGAGATGGGCCTGAGCAAGTAGCCTCTGTGCCCTGTCTTTTGTCAACAAAGTGACCCAAGGCGAGTGATCTAGCCTCTCTGAGCCCCCTCAGAATATTAAGAATCACAGGAGCCGCCCAGCCCCAGCTCCTGGTCTCTGACCGCAAGTGTGGGGACATGCTGCTGACAGCCCTTGGGAAGTCAGCACTGCAGGTGACAGCAACTGCTTTGCGGGCTGGAGGGCACGAGCAGGGAAGCTGAGCTAGGGAGGTAACTCCTGAGCCCCAGGGCCTGGGCCTGCACGGCTGTGCGCCCAGAGCATGGCCTTGCGAAGCTCAGGACCTGGTTTCTTGTCTGAGCCCTGCCACTCTCCGCTGTGTGACTTGGCCTCAGCTCTGCTGTCTGCAAAGTGAGAGGGCAGGTGAGACCTGCTGGACGCTACTTAGCAGCGGCTCCCTAACTGGGCTGTGGGTTCCCCAGTGTCCAGGGCATCTGTTGGCCCCTGGCACAAACTTCATTCTTATGCTACATTTATTTCCAGCTATCTCAGTAAAAGATGGTACCAGCAGGGCACAGCAGTACACTTGGCATTTCAGCACTTGGGAGCTGAGGCAGGAAGATCCCGAGGTCAAGTGCCTCCTGGGTGCCCAGCAAGACTCTGCTCCCCATAAAAGAAGTAAAAGGAGCTGAAAACAGTGTCAAAGTGTCTGTGAGTTTCATCCTCAGCACCACAAAAATGGGAGGGAGAAAAGGACGGCACCTGCAGGCTGCATGCCTTAAATGTAAAAATTTAGCTCCCCAGGATCAGCGACATCAGCGTGTTTCCAATGGCTGGCTTATCATAAATAAATGTTAGACATATGAACTTAGAAATGTAAGTCACTAGGACACGGCCTGTGTCCCTTTCATCCGCTGGGAATTAGCACACAGTTCCATGCAACAGAAGAGGATTCCTGGTTATGAAAATGTTTGGGCTGTGCCTGTGGCATTTTGACTTTCCTGTCCTGTCATTCTTAGCCTCTAGGGGACGAACTTCCCAAACCTCTGATTCATTTGGCAGGGACTGGGTGCCCCCTGCACGAATCCTCTGGAGCCCGTGGAGCAGGAGCACTGGGCGGAGAGCAGAGCCTGTGCCCTGGCCTTGGGAGAAGGGGTAGGTTTGTCTGCCTAGAGAGGCCAAGGAGGAGGAGCCAGTGGCCAAGAGGAGAGAAGCAGGAGGTGGGGCAGGGGACAAGCCTGCTTGGGGACCCCGTGCACGTGCATGTGAGGGGCAGTTCAGGGAGAGGCATGGGGAGAGCCAGCAGCTGCACAGGGCCCGGGGTGGGGTGGCTGGGGTGGGGGCAGGAGTGGGGCCCACCAGGAAGTGGGAGCCGTGGGGTGGTGCCCCGCAGCCTGATGCCATGTCAGGGACTACGACAGGGCACGTGAGCTCGAGAGCCTCGTTGGGAGCCCAGGCTGGGGCGCCAGCGGGCAGCACTGGCCTGCGGGCCGCGTGGCCACCTCCCCACCCCGGCCCGAGGCAGCCGCACGCCTGACCTTTCTGGTAGCCCGCAGAGAAGCCGTGGCTGGCCACGTGCTTGTCGGAGTGGAAGACGACGGACATGACATGCCACGACGAGGTGAAGGGGGGCGGCGGCACCCGGCCGCAGAACCTGCCCAGCAGGTTGCCCTGGTCCGCCGAGGCGCCGTTGTAGATCTCCAGGAAGTCGAAGCCGCAGCTGTCGTGGTACTCCAGCTCGAAGGCGTGGAAGGTGAGCAGCACGGAGGAGCCCTCGGCCACCACGATCAGCCAGCTGCACTCCGTGTCGTAGGGGTACAGTCTCGGGAAGTTGGGGCTGGAGAAGTTCCCGGCGGGCGCAGAGAGGACCCCACCGCATTTGACGCCTGGGACAAGGGACAAGGAGACTGGTGGGTGCTGCTCGGCTGCAGCGGGCACCTGGGACAGCGCGGGGACACAGGCATGGCTCCTCCGCACACGTCTGCTCCCGAGCCTAAACAGTCTTCAAGTAGCCGCTTTCTGTTAGTCATTCCACAAATATTGTTGAGTGCTAGGCCTTGTCCTAGAGCTGGGATTACACAGGAACAAACCAGAGTAGCACTCCCGCCCTCGTGGAAATGAAATTCTAGTGAGAAGTAGAATGCGGAGAAACTAAAGAGATATTCGTGGTGAGGAAGAGCAAGCAAGTGAAGGAAGGAAAGCATGGGCCGGCCTCCAGCTTTAGTTATTTATGTATTTATACTTAATTTTTTGGTTTTTTGAGACAGGGTCTTGCTACGCCGTGCAGGCTGACCTTGAACTCAGTTTGTAGCCCAGGCTGGCCTAAGACTCACAGCAATCCTACAAGCGCTGGGATTACATTTTAGATCAGACATTCCCAGGCCCTAGAGGTGCGCAGCTGGGAGGTTAAACATGCACAGTAACAACTCGCCTCACTGAAAACGTGCAGGGTTAAATTACTGTGATAAATTCTCGGGTGATAGCTCGGTGAAAAAGCGCTTGCCCAGCATGCATGAGACTCTGTGTTGCATCTCCAGTACTGAAAAAAAAAGACATTCTATATGTTTTTTTCACTTCTATTTAAAGAGAAATGGTAAAGTTAGCTATGACGTCATACACTTGTAATCCCAGCCCTGTGAGATGCTGAGGCAGGAGGGTCCCAGGTTTGAAGTCAACCTTGACAATTTAGAAACTCAGTGAATAAAGAGGAAACAGTGACATAAAGCTAATAAGAATAATTATCTGGCAGAGATAAAAGTCAAAAAAAAGAAAAACAGAAAAGAGAAGAAATAGGATGTCTGCTAGACCTCTTTAAATGTACTTTGCTTCAAAATTTCAACTTTATAATCACATAAGATAATTCGTGATGTTAAAAGATAAAAAGTTAATATAAACATTAAGCATCCAGTATGAAATCCAGTATGAAATAAATAAATGTTACTATGTGCCAAGTTGGTGGCAGTCCAGGGAAAGTGATTTCAAGTGACTTCGGGCTACTTTATTTTAACTGTACATTCCCAGCACAATATATTCCTAAGGAAAAAGTGAGCCACGGAAAGATCTTAATATTTAATAGTCTTGTGTTAGTAATAATATCAAATATTGTTATTTCACAATATTTTAGATATTGAAATAAAGCAAATTACACTGTTTTTCAGTGTAAGAGATAAAAGATACAAATTTAAAATTTAAAAATCAGCCAGGCGTGGCGGTGCATGCCTGTAATCCGGCCTCTGAGAGGCTGAGACAGCAACGCTGAAAGTTCAAGACCAGGCTGGACAATTGGTGACTCAGCAAGACCTGGTCTCAAAACACTGCAGCTCAGCCGGTGTGGGGGGCACGCTTGCAGTCTCAGCACTCAGAGGCAGAGGCAGGAGGGTTGCTGCAAGTGTGTGGCCAGCCTGGGCTACGAAGCAGCCTGAACTGCATTGAATGAAAGGCCCTGTTTAAAAACCAAAAATCAATGCAGCTCGGTGTGGAGGCCCTGGGTTCAATCCCCAGCACTGAAACAAAACAGAACAAAAGTCTCTCCTGTGATCCTTCATATGAATTGAAAATATCAATTTGAATGTAAGATTTGTTTTTAAAACTATATTTCCTGTCTCTGTTTATTAAACAGACCAAGAAGCAACGATATTTCAGGAGCACTGTGCAGCCCTGAGCCTCAGATTAGGATTATTACGCCCAACTGAGGCAGGACTTCTTTGGGAAAGGCCAGTGCCGGGGAACGCACAGAACGTGCTCGGAAGGTCATGGTGCTAGGTGGAGAGGAAGCTGTCAAAGGCTCGGGAGCACATCGGGGGACACGGGGACCTGCCTGAAGACTGAGGAGATCCAATCCAGGTGTCATCAAGGAACAGTGATGGCAGGGAACGGAAACGGGTCAAATATATAAAACTCATCAATTCATAATGCAACTTGGAAGAAATTAAAAAGGCTTTCCTTTAGCGATTGCTAGGGCACTAATTCATTTTATGAAAATTGATAACCAGAAAAAGAAAGAAAATAATGTATTAGATTTTTGAAAACCAAATAACTGGCAAGGAAAAAACCTGTTATTTATAGAAGACTGCAGAAATAACTTCAGCACTGAAAAATCATAATTTTGCAAACCTAAATGAAATACTGGATGTAGATGACATCTCTAGTGTCTATTCTAATCACTGAGTTAATCCTAGATAGTTGAGTACATAAGAATTCTCTGCAAAGTTCTTTCGACTATGTTAAATGTTTTAAAATTGAGTGTGTGTGTGTGTGTGTGTGTGTGTGTGTGTGTGTGTGTGTTGAAATGGGTCTCACTGTGTTGTCTAGGCTTGACCTGAATTTGTGAGCTCAAGTGATCCTACTGCCTCATCCTCTCAGGTACTTTGAACTACAGGTATACATGAGCAGGCCTAGCTGAAACTTTTTATACTTAAAAAATACCAGGGCCAAGAATGTAGCTCAGTTGATAAAGAGCTAGCACAGCACTAAGTTTGATTCTAGCACCAGAGAGAGAGAGAGAGAGAGAGAGAGAGAGAGAGAGAGAGAGAGAATTAGTTAATTGGGAGGTTGAGGCAGGAGGATTGCAAGAGTGAGACCAGCCTTCCTGACTGAGCCCCTCCCTCGGATCAGAAAGTGTAGGACCCTGGGTTCAATCACCAGTATGGAAAGAAAAAGTCAGAAGTTAACTTTGTAGGGAACTTTATAATGGATGAATCAGACTAATAACCCCCAATCTGTGAGCTCAGACTGAAGAGCCCTATCATCACGGTGGAACGGTGCCCAATATGTAACACACACACACACACACACACCACCACCACCACCACCACCACCACCACCACCACCACCACCATCACCCAGTATAAAGTTTTCCCAAAAAACCCCTGAAGGAACCTGAATCTAATGAATCTCCAGATTGATGCAGAAGTTAGAATGAATGCGGGTGAGGAGACTGTTTGCTTGTTTGGTTTTTGTGCTAGGAACCAAACCCAGGCCCTCACACATGCCAAGTAAACCCTCTACCACTGAGCCACATCCTGGCCCTCGAGCACGTATGGTGTGGGGGCAAGGGGACTCTCACTAAAAATCTCACTAAGTTGTCCAGACTGGTTTGGAGCTCCTGGGCTCCCTCCTGCCTCAGCCTCCTGAGTAGCTGGGACTACAGGTACACCCAGCCTAGAGGGACATTTTTAAAGACAACATGATGAGATATTCAGCTGACTCCAGAATGTTACAAATTTGAGAAGATAAATAACTCAGAACTTCAAAGAAATTATGTGAGGGGGAGACATCATTGTTACAATAGAAGAGTCAAATATCAACCAATACAACGTGTGGATTTCTTTTGGATTCTGATTTGAACAAATCACCCGTGTGACATTTCTCAGGGTTAGAAGTTTACAAAGGCTGATGCAGAAGTTAGAACCCCTCCCCTCCCCCCACTCACAGAGGAAACCCTCCCCACCCCGTCCTCTCCTCCCCCTTGTGCTGTTTTTCTCCATTATCCCTCACTCTGGAACACCCTGCTCACTTATCTGGCTCATCACCAGCACCCCTCCTGCATCTTAGACAACTTCAGCCCCTTCTCTTAGACCCCACTCTCTCCTCGCCTCCTTGGGGCCCCTCTCTTCCTTTCCTGGGGAGACATAGGGACCTCCTGGCCCCCACCATCACCACAGCAACTGGTCTGTGGGATGGCACCTGCCCAGGCAGGCCACAGCCCTGCTCAGGATGTCCAGAGGCCACAGAACTTCCTCCCTACTCCCTCACCAGGAGTGGGTATCAGGGGCCAGAATGGGGCATCTGGGAGAGTCCCATTGGCAGCTGGCAGGGGCCATATGAAGGGTACAGAGGGTCCCTGAGGCTGAGCGCTCTGTCCAGCCCTACCTCCTCGGCCACAGAGCACCTGAGTCAGCCCAGCCTGCTCCCTGCCTGCCATTCAGGTTGGGCTTCTGCCACTGCAACCAAAGCATCCTGAAGAACAGACTTCGAGACAGCGACACATGGTCACCTGTGTGCTATGCCAGGTCCGGGCTGTCTCAGGACAGGGCCGCCACAGGCAGCTCTCAGAGGGCAAGCGAGATAAAGCCACACCATGTGCATGAGCTTTGCCGGGGCTCTGGGGTCCAGAGAGAAGGCAGATGGAGGGACATTCTGTCCAGTGTCACTCCCATGTCCTTCCCACAGCGGTGGGAAGCCATAGCAGTGGCCCAGGCCACTGTGTGAGTGGAGACCTTGTCCACCAGGCTCAGGAGGCATGCTAACCCCAGGGTCACTCCACTGAAACTCTGGTGGCTGAAAATAGGAGCAGTTAGCTTGTGCCTCCTGCCCCCAGGTGTGGGCTGAGACCTGTGGGTGCCCACTCCATCTCTGCCAGCTGTGGGGTGCCTAGAAAGGAACCTTTTCTCTCTCGGCTTCCCCAAGCTTGCAGAAATGTCTGCCAAGTCCCGAGGGCCTGCATAGCCCTTGCAGAAGGTGAAATGGTATCACTCCAGTGTCACAAAGGGTCACACAGCGCCAGAGTCTTCTGGAACCTCAGGGCAGCCAGGGGCTTCTGAGGGAGGCTGGCTGAATGTGGATAGCTTCCTGGAGGAGATGACATTTGACCTAAGTTTGAAGAACGACCCAGAAGTTTTCAGGTTAGGAACTCTGGGAAAGAAGAATCCTTTGTAGGCAGGAGAGCAGCATGGCTTAAGGGCCCCAAAGGTAATGCATCCTCAGAAAGAGTTGTGATTCCCTGCCAGAGCTCAGGATGCCAAAGGGGCACAGGGGACCCAAGGCAATGCCTAGGAGCCCTGCATGCCATGGTAAGGAGGCTGATGGCCCTGGCTAGCCCATGTAGCACAGCAAGCTCTGGAAAGATGAAGTGGCTCCTCTAAGAGTTGTCTGGGCCATTCTCACCACCCTGGGTAACTGTGTGACCTTAGACAAGTTGTTTAACCTCTCTAGTCCTCAGCTGCTTCAACTCTAAACAGAATGTGTGTATGCGCATGCGTGTGTGCGTGCAAATGCTCACCTCAGAGTTGCTGTAAACATGGATTAATGCATGTGAAGCAGACAGTTCAACAAACACCCCCTCTTCGTCCCAGACACAAAATCCCGTCCACCCAGTCACTCACCTGGCCGGGCCAGGCCTTCTGTTTCCTAGCTCTTTCCCGGCCCTCCCCGGAGGCCCTGGCCCAGCCTAGGTCCTTCCTGGCTCCTGGGGGCCCCCAAGAGCACCTACCTTTCATGGCCTGGGCTCCCAGGCCTATACTCAGCAGTGCCACTGCCAGCAGCAGATGGGATCCCAGCTTGGCCAGCATCTCCTCACCGGGAACCCACGGGGCTGCAGAGCTGAGTGGGCCAAGACCTGAGGGTCCGAGCAGGGGAAGAGAGGTGGAGCACAAGGGCCTCCCAGCTAATGGCAGTGTGAATAATTCATCAGCCTCGAATTAGTAAGCTGATCCCCAGGTGCTTCCTCTGCTCCGCCAAGTGGCCACCGAGGTGCTGGATCTGGTGTCACCAGGTTGACACGCTCCGAGATCTGCACAGTCACACTGTATCTGGAAGGGAAGCCTGGGCCTGGATGGAAACTGAGTGACAGAGAAAGGGCCTAAGTGTTAGGACCAGGCAGACCTGGGATTCACCCCAGTCCAGCCTCTAACCAGATAGGTGACCGTGGACAACTCACAAAACTCCTGTGGCTCCTGCTCCTCCTCCACCCAGGGCGCCACTCAGTGCCAGCTGCAGGTCCTGGGGGAGGGAGTGGGTAGCTGGTGCTGAAGCCCACTGCAGTCACCCACTCCTGGCTTTTCCCACTGGAGGGAGGAGCAGGAGCCTTGAATTCGTGGGACTCATGGGACAAGCTGTTTCCAGATGTGAGTGCTCACACAGACTGACAGAGAAGGCTGCTGAGTCATGAATAACAGGACTGGAACCTCGGAACCACACTGTGCCCTCTCAGTGCAGCAACGGCCCAAGGCTGAGAACACTGAGTGTTCCTCCGTCTCCACAGCCTTGCTCAGAGGCTGCCATGTGCTGGTTCCCTTGCTGGGAGAGCTGGGGCTGCAGCAGTGCCCTGGAGGACTCAGTCTCACAGGGAATGAGACCTTTCTTTCCCTCTGGGGCTCTGGTTCTGTCCAGCCCAACATATTGTTTTTTATTTTATTTTACTTATTTGCAGAACTGGGGATTGAACCCAGGACCTTTGCACTAAGCTGCATCCTATTTTATATTTTATTTTGAGACACTAAGTTGCCCAAGCTGGGCTCCAAGTTGGAAGCCTCCTGCCTCAGTCTTCCAAAGTGCTGAGGTTACAGAGCATCATGCCCAGTTTCAACATGCATTTCCAAACTCAGTTGCTGCACAGTGCCTGAGCCAGGGGTGGGAGCGCTGGAGGAAGCATGCTTCTGGGGTCCTGGGAAAGCTCACAGGCTCTGAGCCCAGCAGGTGTGGTAGTGGCCAGTGCAGTCTATAGTGTGGGTGAAGTGAGACCATGGGTGGGGCTTCTCAGCCAGCCCAGCTTGGGGCATAAAAAAGTGTGTTTTCTCTCTGCCCAGAGCATTTGACAAAGCAGGCATCTCTGGTCACCCACTTGTCAGCATGTCCCCAGGGAGCTGTGGTTGCCAGCAGAGGAGTCCGCCTGGAAGGAGTCCAGCAAAACGCATTGGGAATGCTCAGGCCTGAGGGGTTGGTTTACCTGCTGGATTGACTGGCAGCAAGGAAAGTTCCAGCTGCTCCCGAAGTCTGAGATGGGGCAGCTTGCACTGAAGTCCTACTGTGTGAAGGAGAGGAAGACAGAGTGAAACCAGCACCTGCTGGCCAGGGCTCAGGGACCCTCGCTGAGCACCGGTGATGGCAGCTCACAGTGCTCCTGCCTTGGCAGCGAGCAAGCTGGCACCAGAGGACCTGAGCTACATCTTCAGGTGGGCCCTGCTGCAAGGGGAGGCTGTGACCTTTGGTCTGCTGGAGAGGCTATCCAGGAAGGGTGCAAGACGGGGATGGGAAGAAGCAAGTGTTCTGGGCAGGTCACCCCTGTGGGCACTTCCGGGAGGTCGTGTGCCCCACTGGCATGGGAAGCAGAGAGTTTCACTACCCCTGGGAACATCACAGTCCCAGGATGTCCAGCCTGCCATGCCTGGCCCCATTGCCCATGGACAAGGGCAGGACCATGCCAGAATATCTACTGAGCCACCATAACAAAAGGCTGTCATCATTTTGTGACCACATCTTGAAGCTGATATCCCCAGGTCACCTCTGAAACATCTGTCCCACTGCCTTGAACAACTGCTTCTCTTCTGGAACTCTCATATGGGCTTTCCAATTGCACCCCAACCCTGGGCACTGCCATGGTGGCCCTCGGGCTCCCCCAGATCAGCATTTCCCAAAGTGAACCCCCCTGCCCATCAGCCCCTGCCTTGCTTGTCCTCCGGTGTTCCCTATTTCTGGTCGTGACACAACCAGCACACTGAGCTAGCAACCGGGGAGCCCGTCTCAGCTTCCTTCCCTCCACCTTCTGCCTGTTGCTCACGCTTGAGTTTGATCTCAACTCGCCTCCAAGTGACTTCTGAACCGTTTGGTTTTCACAATCTCTCCTGCACTGCTCCAGCTGCCCCTTGCTGGCCTATGTGTCCCTAGCTCCCTGTCCATCCCCAAACCACCCTCCACTCTAATCTTTCTAGAATGCTAACTGAACCATGGCTCTCCTCTTCTTGGGACAAAATCCGAAGTCCTTTGCTCAGCATTCATGTCCCTTCAAGGCACCTCCCCAGCTCATCACAGACTTTCTCAGCTTGAGTTGTACATCCTGGCCAACTGACCTTTCTTCATTTTTCTGTGTGTACTGTGTCTCCAGCCTAACTAGCCCTTCTTTCTGTCCCATTGTTCCTCGATGGACTCTACACACTGTTAAACCACCTGTCACGTTGTAGACGGTGGTGCACACCTGTGATCACAGCTGGTCAGGTGCTGGGCAGGAAGGTCACAAGTTCAAGGACAGCCTGGATAACTTAGCAGGACCCTGTCTCAAACTAAAATAAGATGAGGAGGGCTGCAGATATAACTCAGTGCTCCCTGGGTTTAATCTTCAGCACTGTGAAAACAAAACAAACTCTCATCACCTGCTAGAGGGTGCTGTCCTGACCCCACCCCAAGCTGTGGCATCCCTTCTCACTGGCTGGCGGGTCTTTCTGAGGTGCCCTGCCTTCTGAGCTGTCATCCAGTGTCCTGCATGGGGCGTAGCCCGGAGCACATCTTCCGTCCCTCTGCCTGCATGTCCTAAGCACTCAGCAGCATGGATGGATGGAAGGGCTCAGAGTGCACAGCGTCTCTCCCCACAGTGATGGGCACTGAGCACAGAGCAGGCTGCTCAGAGACTCTGCTCTGCACACCAGCAGGACCTGTGTTCACCTGGTTCCAAATCCTCTGTGTTTTTCACTGTGCTCTCTATCTGTCAGGCAGCCATCTACCGTGCTATTGACTGCTGGCTCCCAAGCAGACATTTATTTCTCAGAGTTACAGAGTTCAGAAGTCTAAGATCAAAGTGCTAGCAGGCTTGATGTCTAGTAAGAGACCATTTCCTGGCTGTATCCTCACAGGCTGGAGAGGGTGAGGGTCTCTCTGGGGACCTCTTTTATAAGAGCACTAATTCCAAAAGCACTAATCATCTCCCGAAGACCCCATGTCTAAACACCATTGTCTTGGGGTTAAGCTTGCTGAACCAGGGGAGTGGCAGCATGTTCTACACAGCAAAGCACAACGCTGAGTCACTAGCTGTGTGGTCTGGGTAAGTTGTGTCACCTTGGGACCTGGTTTTTGTGTGACGGTAGTTGTGAGTGTGGACACGCCCTATGCTGCCCCCCAGCACTGCCTGCTTCTCCCGTACCCAGATCCACCCTGTGCACACGCAGGGATCACCTGGTGATGCGCATCGAGACCTGCGTTATCTCCAGCTGTCGACGTGTCTGTTTCTCCCTCAGGACAGCCACAAAGATCTAAGAGTGATTGTCCCTCGCTGAAAGTACACCCAGCTCCCAGTGCCAGCCCCTGCTGAGTGTCAGGTGTGTGAGTGAGTGCCCATGGGCCAGCTGCCTGCCCATCTGCAGACGTGTATTTCTGCAGGCACACAGCTCCCACTGGTGTGTGGATCCATGTCTCTGGGTGTGCTCCTCTGCACGTGCACTCTCACTGGCAGGATGGAAACTCACACAGTCTCTGTCCACAGCTGTGTGGGTGTCTGGGGTGACGTCCACAGCTAGGGCTCCTCTGTAAGCCAGTTCTCTTCACACTTGCTTCTGTCACTGGCTGCTAAGCACAGGAGTGGTTCCTGTGTGACAGTCCCTCGATCCTACTAACAGAGGGATGGCAGAGGGTGGAAGCAGAGGGGCCAGTCCATCCCTGGGTTCCTGGTCATGTCTCGAGTCATATTACTTCCCTGACAAGGGCCCTGGTGAGTTGGGGGGATTTGCCACCAATATAGGCCCTGTGGCAGAGGCTGGGAGGGAGGAACAGCAGGAGCAGAGCCAGGGCTGGGCATGCAGGGCACCTATTGACCTGGGACAGGGCAGGAGCTGGGGGTCAGGCACAGAATCACATGGAGCTGCCACCCCAATGATGCTGGCTCACTGCTATTATCCACTGTTCAGCGGAAAGAGCAATGGTTTGGGTTTGAAACTCCCAGAATTTGGATCCTAGTTCCACCTCTAATGCATTGCACACTCTTGGCCAACTCCCTCTCCTCTCAGGGCCTTATGTGCAGAGAGAGATTCTTCATCATCTGTTTCACTGGGCTGCTGTGAAAACCAATTCTGTGATCCAACAGATGAAATTTGCACACTGTTGAGGGTGTGTCCACAGGTGCCCGTGTGTGGGCAGGTAAAGAGGGAGCTAGCATGGCCACGGGCTGAGCTGGGTGTTTAGTCCAGCACTTTATATCTTTATTTCATCCCCTCACAGTGCTCAGAGGAGCTACCATCCTCAACCGCTGCACAGATGAGAAGCCAGGGAGAAACAGCCACCCGAGGCCCCATAGCCAACGCGTGGCAAGACCAGCACTCAAATCCAGCACCCTCTGGCTGCAGGGCTGGAGCTCTGGGCCCTCAGCTGCAATCACCAGGAAAGGACAACAGAAAGGTGCCCTAAAGAGGACTCCAGGCCCGCGAGGCAGAGAGGGTGAGGAGGTACCCAAAGGGAGCATCCTGCTGCTCTGGCCTCTCCTCCTGTCCTTCCACAACCACCCAGGCTTGCTGCTCTGGCCAAGCAGGGGCCTCTTCGATCAAATTATAAGGAGGATAGTTAGAGGAAGTTCCTGGTTGCATAAGGGGCAACTGCTGTGCTGTTCTTCCTGCCTCAGGAGAGGCTGCCGGGAAGGCAGTCCCAAGGCCTGGACCTCTAGAGAGAGGTTCTGGAGATTCTGCCACCGCCTTTTACCCCCCGGGCTGTTCTGTCCTTCCCCCGCACTCTGCTCCTCAGCCTCTTTATTCATGGCCGGAGCTCAGGAGCCAAGAATGGCTCTGCACAGAACCTTCCAGGTGCCTGCCCTGTCCTGGAGGCCAAACGCAAGCCTCCTGCTCCACACGAGGCAACAACTGCACTTCCTATTGCCAGCCACATCCATGTGTGTTCCTTAACTCCCCTCCAGCCTCACCTGTAAAATGGGAATAATGCATTAACATTTTCAGAGGGTTTAGAACAGGGGAACACGGCCATGTGCTCTGCTCTATTTAGGCACTCACTAATTTAAATTAACTTTAAAACTTTGTAACAACTCTGCAGAGGTAAAGACTCCTGGCTCCATTCCACTGGTGAGTAGGATTCAGACATAACTACTTTATTATTTCAACAAGCATTTATTAAGTACCTACTTACTACACTGTCAGGCCCAATGTTGGATAATTATGCTCCTTATTCTACCTACTCCCCACAGCTCAGTGAGGGATATTAGTATCCCCTGATATTTCCCAAGTCCCCCTCAGGGGCAGGAGCACCTGCTGACACCGTCTGGTTACTGCTTCTCCAGCACATGCTGCAAACTACACAAATAGCTGTTGAGAGAAGGAATACAATCATCCCCAGTTTTCAAATGTGGGAGCTGAAGTCCAGAGAACTGAAGTCATTTGCTGAGATCACACAACTGTTCAGTGACACAGGTGAGGCTGGAACCTACTGCCAGCTCGAAAGTCTGAGTCTGTCCTAATTCTGCCCCTGTAGAGTGGCTCTGACCAGGTACAGCCACGTGGCAGTGCCTGCAGTGGGGTGTAGCTGGGCCAAGACCCCACCAGGCTCCTTCATTGAATACCCAGGGTCCTGCTGTCTCCCCTTGGCCCCTGGGTCTCTCACAGGCCACCAGCCATGCCAGCCAAGGAAGTAGCACTCCCTTTTCAAGTACTCCATTGAGAAGGGGAGCCTGCCAACCTTCCAGAAGTCCAGATGCGGAAGCTATGCCAGTCAGTTTCTGGGGCCTCCTGGCCGTACGCAGGCTCAACCAGCAGCTCCAGGTGAGTGGCCAGGGCTCCCTGCAGACAGGCAGCCAAGGTGGCAGAGACTTCAAAGGGCAAGTCAGATCACCTCTTCCTGCCCACCATCTGGGTACAGAAACAGACCAGAGAGGACAAAAAGAAAAGACAAACCTGCGCCCACAGAGTGTCTGCTGGGTGTCAGGCAGACGGCAGGGCCTTGTGTTCTTGCTACAGGGACTTCCGTAGCCCCCATGATACGGGGACACCCCCAGACCAGCAGGAAGGCATTTAGAAATGTTTGTTAACTTCTAAATGAACGCATTAGTCTGCAGAATAGTCAGGGAGGTAGGAATTATGATCCCATTGAAACAGGCTCAGAAGGGAGAGAATCAACAGCACCAAATGCTGCTGAGAAACGTGCTCTAGGCACCACGGGCCTTGGGAGGCAGCCAGAGTGGAGGAGTGGAAGGCAGATTGCTGCAGGGTGAGGAGAGGAGCAGGGAGTAGCTTCACGGTACAGGCAGCTCCACAGGGAGGCTGAAGATTAGAGAGGGGGAGAGAGAGCACGACCAGAGTGCATTCTTCTCTGGAGTAACATGGAGGTGCTTCCTTTCCCTTTCCCTTTCCCTTGTGTTAAAGTGGGGGAAACTGGGCCATGCTTTGGTGCTGGTGAGCAGAGCTGGTAGAGATTCCCAGGGGAGAGGATCCATTGTCAGGAGATCCAGGGGCTCACTGAGCAGGGAATGACACTTGGCTTCTTGGCAAAGACTCTTCCTCTTAAAGGGGCAGAGGAGAGGCTGAGGTTTCCTTTGGGCAGGGCCCTGAGCTGGGGCTTATCTTGTGCAATCTCCTGTACTCCTCAGAGCCTGGCTAGGAGGACTGGAATTACCATCCTCGTTTCACAGGGCAGGATCAGCGTCCCCACCATCTCAAGGCTTGCATCCACTCATTCATTCACTCTTTTACCTGTCGCTGGTCCTGCCCTCACTGACCACACACTGTACCAGACAGTGGCGGGGACATGGTGCCACGCCCTGCCCTCATCTAAGAACACCACTCTCCATCAGCTATTTTACCTTGTGAGCATCTCTTTCCCAATAAAAAGCCTGAGCATTAAGCATGACTCAGTAGGGGACTCCTGCTACCCAGCCTCTCCACCCCAGCCTGCTTGGAGGCCCAGCAGGAAGTTTCTGTGTGCACTGAGGGATTCCTCTCTCTGCCCGAGGGTTGCTCTGGTTGCCAATGAGTTTACTCAGTGGGTACCAGTAGTGCTAGGAGTTCTTACCCTCCGTCAGTGAGGGAGCATAAATGTGTGACCTCCTGGGATAATCCTAAAGCATGCTGCAGCCTCCTGGCAGCACCCCGAAGAGGTGGGCTCCAGCTGCTGCCAGGGCTGATGTGTTTTTCCTCCCCAACTCCACTTGCTTCCCTGATCACCTCCCACAGACATTTCTTGCAACCAGATCCTTGCTCCGAGCAAACCTAGCCTCAAACAAAGTAATTTTAAAATCTGGCACCCAGCAGACTTGTAGTAAATGCTCAATTTCATCTTCATAGGACATCTTTGAGAACACAGTTGCAGCTGCCGGCCTGGCAGCATCATCCAGGAGCAGTGGCTGGCCAGGGGCCTGGGGGCGCAGTAAGGTGTGTGTGAGTGTGTGGGGGGGAGTCAGGGCCACAGGGCCCAAGGCACTTAGAGTGGACGGGAGCCACTTGGAATCTCTACCATAGCCTTTCTCATCCGGGTCTTCCTAATCTTCTGTTCCAATGCAGGGCTCTATGTTCCGCATTTGAGGCTTCCAGCCCAAACGCTATTTGTCCCCAGCATGGTCCACCCTTGCCACATTCTTCTCCTGTTCCCAGGCATGCTGGTGGTCACCTGGCCAGAGGCAAAGCTCCTCTACATTCAGGCAAAGGTCCCAATGCAGGCTCACCGGCCCTCCAAACTGGCCTGTGTAGCCCACCATCCAGCCAGTGTGCCCTCCTGGCTGCCACTCTGAGTGCCGACATCCAGGACCTGGTCAAGGCTATCACCTCAGTCCAGAAAAGCTGATGTGCACTGCTCATATTGAGAGCAAGCGGCAGGATGGCATGCTTGTCTCTAGCCAGAGCCTGTGGGACCCGCGTGCGGACAGCTTTGCCACTCTGAACACCACACTTTTCTGCGTGGTGCTGGTGCCCACCTCCTATCTGCAGTAAGCTCTTCAGGCCGCAAGCTGCCGCCTGGCCTGGAAACTGAGTTCCTCGTCAGTGAGCACCTGGGAAGGCAGCATGCGTCTGGGACAGGCTAGCAACTTCCAGGCCTCAGGGCGGTTCAAAGAGAAAAGCAGCGAGACGCAGCTCCACTGACTGCTCGGCAGCTGTGCAGACCACGCGTGCCGCGGAGCTCCTGCTCTCCTGTCGGGACCGCGTCAGCTGCGGGCCCTCTCAGCTGGACACGCGGACCAGAAGCTCTGAGGGGCAGCTATCTATGTCTTTGATTAATAAAAAATGGAAGATAAATTAATAATGGCTTTAATACGTGCAATTTGGGATCAGAATCTTCTAAAGCACAGGGAAAATAGTAAGGGAAGGTTTCTTTTCCTTCCTTTCGTTCCTCTCTTTCTGTCAGGGTCTCTCTATACTGCCCAGGCTGAATGTGAAACTCTAGGCTCGAGTGATCCTCCTGCCTCAGTCTGTTGTGTGGCGGTGACACTGGGCAAAGAAGAAGAAGGAGGAGAAGGAGAAGGAGGAGGAGAAGGTGTCTACCACTGAGATGTCTGACAAGCCATTCTGTTTGAGTTGATGCGGGGGGAAAAGTGGGCCAAGCAGAGGGAAGAGCTGTCAGGGCTGACTATGGGAACGAGTCACTCTTTACTGCTGGGCTGCCCACACTTAGAAGATGGCCTGGCACACAGTAGGTGCCCAGGAAGAGTCCTAAATGACTGATGGAAGACTGTGGGGACACAGAGAGCACAGCCTACTGTGAGGCAGGGAGAAGTGAATGTTTTCAGACCTCTAGTTTCTGAAGAGCTTTGACAATGGATAATTTTTTTCTGTTCTTAATTTTATAACTGTATTAAGCACAGAAAAAATATATATAGCAGACAATAGGGAACCCACTACCCAGATATACCAGAATTCTAGTTTTTGCAATGTTTCATTTCAAATTTTTACAGGTGCAGATATGGTCAAAAGCCCTCCCCAGCCCACCCCTTCCCTTCATTCCTTGGGGCCATCCTTGCTGGTATCTGACGTGTCTCCTCCTTGGAGGATTATTTTGGGGCTGTACTCACTAGGTGCTTGATGTGGGTTTATAATCGATATAGGAATCCAAGCAGCCAAATTGATAAATTTTGGGATTTTATTAGCTGAGCCTAGCAACCACTCACATAGACCCGTTTCAGAGTCAAACCAAGTGGCCCCAAACTGAAGGGTTACAGGGCATTTAAAGCAGAAAACCACAAAGCAAGACATCCTGATGGAAACAATTTAGCTAGAATCTTAAATTAATTTTGGTTGATACCTGCACCCTGCTTCTTTGTTGAGCAGGTTAATTTTTTCTTGTGGATGCAGCTCATTCTGCCTTTCTCATGGGACTTATACTGAGTAATTTTTCACTCTTCTGGGTCAAATACAGGGCACATGATGGCATCAGTTATGCCAAGCTACAACAGTACTTATGAGGGACTTTAGGATGCTGGTACCACATAGCCCATGTTGGCACAGGGAGACCCAGTTCACTCATTTTAGCTCCTGTCTGAGTACCTGTTTGTTGGGGTCAGGGTGGGGTAGCTCAGTGGTAAAGCATGCTTCACACACATGAGGCTCCAGGGTAAATAAGTAGCACGCCACACGTGTGCACACTTGCATACACACATGCAGACACATATACACAAGGAAATGTTTCTGTTTTTAATGAGTATATATAGCTGGGCATGTAGCTCAGTGATACAGCATGTGCCTAGCATGCATAAACCCCTGGATTCCATCCTTAGCAACATAAAAACAAAAGTCATGCCAGGGATAAAGCTCAGCAGTACGAACATCTGCTTGGCAAGCGTGAGGTCAGAAGTTCAATCCTGGTACCAAAAAAAAGTAATTTTTCATAGATATATTGATAGGTTTTAGTTCGGTGTTTTTGGTACCAGGAGTCAAAACTCATGACCTTGCAATTACCAGGCAGGTGCTGTGCTGCTGAGCTATATCCCCGGCCTAGGTTTTAGTTTTTGCTATTTCAAACAGCACAGTAATGCACAAATTTTTATATGTATCTCCAGGGACACTCATGTGTTACATATGACCTTTACAATGTTAGAATTTGTGTCCTTCTACATGACCATGGCTCATTGCTTCATGTCTTAAAAGCTTAGTTTCTTCATCTACAAATCTGGGCAATAAAATGGCACAAACGCCAGAGGTGGTGGTACACACCTATAATCCCAGCACTGGGGAGGCTGAGGCAGGAGAGGAGCACCATGAGTTCGAGGCCAGCCTGGGCTACATGCTGAATTCAAGGCAAGCCTGAACTGCCTAGCAAGAACCTGTCTCAAAAAACAAACACAAAAACCAAAATGGCACAAATATCTGTGAAGATTCTGTACTTCAGTATAGATGACAGGTGCTCTGCCACCTGTAAAGGTCAGCCTGGTCAGTGTAGAGGAGGGCACAAAGGGAAGAGATGGGCTGGGAGACCAGTGAAGGTGACGGTGAGGTGTTGCGGGCTGAACTGAGGTGGGCATGGCTTTGGTTACCCAGATCTGTCCCCTAGCCCCTTTGCTAGGTGCTGTCATTGGAAGCCTGGGACTGCTGCAGATCCATGGACATTTTGAACTCCTTCTGTCTTTGGGACAAGCCCAAAGTCTGCCCCATTCCCACAGCATCACACAGCACCCATCAGCCATCAGCAGCACACCTCCTGCATGGGGGCTGTGTCAGGAGAGAAGTGAGGAACAGGAGGTGAGGAGAACTTGCCCCGGTCCCAAGAGGCCTGTGCTTGCACATGCTAACCGCTCTTCTTCTAGAGGGCTCGCTTCCCTGTTATGGTTTGTGTCTGGATGTCCCCCCAGAGCCTCATGCGGTTATGGGGGTGGGCTTCTAGTTTGTAATGACTCATGGCCCAATGCTGGGATGATGGGTGTGAGAGCAACACCCAACTGGGTGTGCCTTTACATAAGGGACGGCGTCTTTTCTCATGCTCCTCCTTTTTGCTCTTGCTGCTTGTGCTGTTTTTGCCACCATGAGCTGTTGCCCTCTGTCATGTGCCATTTTGCCTTGGAGCCACCTGATTATGGACTGAAACCTCCACAAACTATGAGCTAAATAAACCTTTCCTTCCTTAACTTTGGGTGTTGGGTATTTTGTCTCAGCAATGAGAGAAAAGTAACCAAGACAACACTCAAGTCACTAGAGCTCAAATGTCCAGGTGACAAGGACCACCTGCCAGGGCCCTCACCAATGTCCCAGGATAAGGGATCACACCCACAGGCAGACTACATAAACCCTACATGGGGGGAGAGGATAGGAGGGTGAACCCATGAGAGGACAAGAAAGGGCTGATCTTTTCTGCTCTCTGAACATCAAATATCAAAAAGTGGAACAAAGGCCCATGTAAGAAGTGTCTGACCCTCCATTCTTTATGCACCACTTACACTCCTAGTGATGAGTGTGAATACTGCTTTTGAAACCTCACTTCCCAGTGGCCATGCTGTGTCCCTGGGCCTCCCTCTCCTAGCTTGCACATCTAATGCCTGCCTTTTCCCTGGCTGAAGCTTCCCACGGAAAGGCTGTGTGTGTCTCACTTGCTGATGCTTCCATGTCAGCTCATGACAGGTGCCCAGGTGCATGAGCACAATCAATGGACACACTGGTGGAGGGACGGGAGAAGGGGAGGACGAGGCCTGGCAGGAGATCACAGTCCCTGCTCAGAGCGCTGACTCAGAGCCTTTCCTACTCATCATGCTGCAAAGAGCCTTTGAGACCCACAGGACACTGACCACTGAGCCACAAGAAGCAGCTTGAAAACCTTTGGGTTAAACAAATGAGAAGTTTCTTGGCTGCTGGTCTTTCTGAATTTTAGTATGTTCATGTGTGTGATTCTTAGAGGGCACAGCCCTTAGCTCCCACACCTCGCTGACAAGGAATCTCTCTTGTAAACAATTTGAGACCTCTGCACCACCCCAGCTGCTTCTCATGACTGTGAGTGCCCAACTCGATGTAACTTTTGGGCAGGACAGGAAAATCCTGACAAACAGAAACTACTTCAAGCCCCAACACATACACTGGATAAAAACAGAGCTGCTCTAGCTAAGTAGGGCCTGGGGACCCCTGGCCATCAATTCTGCTGCCATATGTGCCAAGGGCCCTAGTGCCCTATGGAGCTCGGTATAAAAAACAGCAGTGCAGGGGTACGACACTGAAGTAAGGGGGCTTGGCGGCACTCCACGCTGTTTCACCTCAGCAAGTCGTTTAGCTTTGCTGGGCCTCAGTCTTCCCATTTACATGGCCAAGCTGTTAGGCTGGATGCTTCCAGGCATCCTGAACTTCCAGCTTTGATATGAGGACTGCAGTCCTGGGACCATACACAGCCTAACTCGTAGGTCCTACGGTTCCCTGATTCTAAGCCTCTGTTGCTGTTTTTTCCAGGTCTGGGATGGCTCATGGCCATCCCTGTGCTAGGACAGCACACTGGAGCCCAGGCTGCGGCAAACTGAACTCTCTAACTGCTGCCCAGGGACTGGGTGGGCAGTGAGGGCGAGGTGGACCTGATCGGCAGTCACTCAGTGGGCAGAGCAGAGAGAGGAGCCCAGGTCTCTGACTCCTGCTCTATCTTTAGATCTCCATAGCAACTGTCTCCCGGGCACTGAGCTGAAGGCTCAGGCTGAGCCAGCTGCCTGCCAGACAAGGGAGGGGCACTGGCCTCTTCTATCGCTGGGAACGGCTTCTGGGCTGGGGCTCCTGAGGCAGGGAAGGAGACTGAGCACAAAGCTGGGAAAGGCTGGGGCCAGCACAGGGTAATCTAGGGTAACACCGTGCTCTGGGAACACAACAAAGTCACAGAATGCAAGGCCTTCAGCATGTCGGGTTCATGGCCCTGAAGCTCTGGATGTGACTGTTCTCCGAAGAGCGCCGGCCTCTCCTGGTGTTGCTGCCTAAACACCTGGGAGCACTTAATCTGAGCCAGAGCTGAGCACACAGCTGGAGCCCCGAACACCTCTGATCAGAGGGGCCAGACGAGCTCCTCTTGGCCCTTGCCCGCTGGGCTCAGCTGGCCCTCGGCTTCCTCAGAGGAGTCCTCCGCCTCCCAGGTCACATGCTCCCTTCTGTCTCCCTGGCAGACTGGATGCTAGGAGAGGATGACCAACCTCACGGGGCACTTGGCCCTGTGGAAATTCCAAGAGGTGAGGACACTTGCCCAACGTCACCCAGCGAGTTTTCAGCGGGCCAGGCCTGGACCCTTGACTCTAGTCTGAGGTCCTTCCTGTGGCCCTGTACCAGACCCTTGCGCAGGGCTCCTGGAAGGGAGGCCAGGGCTAAAAGAAGAAGCAGGAGTCCTTGGCCAGGCCTGCACACAGCAAGCACTTGGCCATGTCTTTGGTAAACTCGGGCGAGCCGCAGACCAATGCAAATGGCTTTCTCCGACAGCAGCCAACCAGTTCTTTTATCAGGCCCAGGCCCAGGCGGCCAAAGCGGGTCTTCTCTTGGTAACTCCAGGGAAGCTGTTCTAGAGAGTTCTCCTGAGAAGACAAGAAAGAGCAGGGGTGACTGTGGAGGGCTTCTTGGGGTTCACAAAGGGTTTGGCTTTTCTCTGCCACATGAGGAAACTGAGGCAGGGAGGGTGGGAAGCCAACCTTCACCAAGCCCAAACACGAATGAGACTTCTCTTCATCATCCTCACAACAGCTACTCACAGATGAGGCTCAGGGAGGATGAGGGCTTCCTGGGCACAGGAGGGGCAGCGGCAGGCCCAGGACTCAAGTCTCCCCACTTCTTGCTGCCTCCCAGAAGCTGCTACACCTGGTATCAGGTGGAAGTCTGCTTCACAGAGGGCTCCCCAGAAGTCCTTCAAGGCTGTCACCATCACGTGGGGAGCACTTCATGTTAATCTGTTCTAAGGTTTCAATGAACTGACACAGCCACCTGGTGGGTATTTCTTGAGGACTCATTTGGCACTGGGCTAAGCAATGAGGACACAGTGGCTGCTCAAACACGAGGCTCTGGCCTCTCCGGGGCTGCATGGAACACAGGTCCCAGGGAGCAGGCGCCACTAGCAGGCTCTGTCCCTCAGGAGAGCAGCCAAGCAAGCCCTACAGGGATGCAGGAGGCCCCGGGGAGGAGGCGCCTCTTCTTTAGGCCTCTTTGGCCTTTTCTCCTGGCGTCCCAAAGTCAAGGTCCCTGTTCCATTTTTTTTAAGTAAACATTTTATTGAAGTATAAAATATGTATATAAAAAGTACAAATCATTAAGAATATGTAGTTTAAAGTCTTTGGTTTTTGTTTTTTTTTTTTTTTTTTTTTTTTTTGAGATGGTTTCTCTGTTTCGGGCTGGCCTTGAGCTCCAGTGCTAGGATTCCAGGTGAGCCCTATCACATGCAGCTAGGAGAACTTTCAAGAAGAGAAGAAACGATGTAATGACCTCACCAATAAGGAAATCAGCCCTGCTGATACACTGCCAACCTGAGAAGTTTAGAAGTTTCAGAGACTCAGGGAACCAGGGTCCTTTGTAAACATTCTCAGCCTGTGCAAGAGGGCGTAGAGATGGTCTGAGTGCTATACTCGCCCTAGGGTGGGCGGCCTGCTCACAGCAGAAGGTAGGAAAAGAGGCTTGTTCATCCCCTTTTTTGCTGTTGCTGCTTTTTCTGTCTTCTGCCATCTTGCACTGTTGCCTCTCACCACACCACCCTGCCTTGGAGTCAGCTGATTCTGGACCGAAACTTCCTCAAACTGTGAGCTAAATAAAACTTTCTTTTCTTCACTTTGGTGTTGGGTATTTTGTCTTAGCAACTGAGAGAAAAGGAATCAGGACAAGCCCAGAGCAAGACATGACTCTGCATACCTCCAAAGGCCAGCTGATGGGGCCCGGAATAAGGGCACAGACGGGGGGCGGGGTACCAGAGCAGAAATACTAGCCCCACCTCCCAGCTAAGTGCCTGCTTCTCTGAGTGATAGGATGTGGGTATAGGCTGTGGAAAGCCATGTCCAGTAAACCACATTGAGGGCGCCACCCGTGGAGGTCTCTGGTCTGATGTGTGTGTGCGGCAGCCTACCTCCCAGGACTGGTCTGACCCACAGGCCCTCTGCTGCTGACAGGCAGTCCTTTCTGCTCTTCCGACCTCTCTGATAAGGTCTTACCTCCCTTTCCACTGCCAGAGTCCCTCAGACCAGTTGGCAGTGGCAGATGCCATCCTGACTGCATGGGCCAGTCCGGCGGTCGCTCAGGTGGGGAGGGGCCTTGTGAACGTGTTGTGTAGGACGAGAGCTGGGGTTGGTGGCAGCAGAAGTGCCAGCACCAGCCCCGGGGCTCTGGGACAGCTTCCAGGGGAAGAAGGGGGAACAGCCCTTGGCCAGGGTAGCATACGCACAGCTCACCTGCACCCCCAGAGACAGTGACTGAAGTCACGGCAGCCAGGGAGAGCAGTGGGGCAGGCTCTGGAGGGGGGCAGCGATGTGATGAAGAGCAGACAGGAAGTGGCCAGAAGAGGGGATCCCCTGAGGTTTGCTACTGGGGGCCAGGCAGGGGACGAGGCCTCCTGGCTCCAGAGAGGATAAATGGGTTACTGCCCTTTACCTACCTGGCCCTGACACCCACCCACCCACCCACCTGCATGACCCCAGGTCCCTGGCAGAGTCACACAGCTAGCAGGTGGTAGGCTGGGTATGAATCCCAGTGGTCCCCCTCAGATGTCATGCTTGTCAGGATAGATACCACAAAGCACTAGAGGATGTCCAGGACTCTGATGGCCAGAGGGAGGCTCATAGGCCAGGTGGCATTTGCACTTGGTGCCAAGGTGTGTGTTAAAAGTTCACCTTCAGCCTTGGGTGGTGGCTGTGATGCTGCCAGGGACCTGGAGTCTAAATCATTCTGGGTCTCAGTTTCCAAATCAGAGGGGCACAACGGAGGTACAAACCTCATGAAAGCAGTGGGATTGAATGAGTTAATGCACATACAGTCCCCTGCAGGGAAGCCCTTGCCAACTGCAGGCCTCTGCCCTAACACGGGGGAGTGTCCAGAGGGCTGGGAGAGTCTCTAGCACATGACATGTGCTTGGGGACAGCACAGGAAAAGGTGCTGGCTAGCAGCTGGCTGGCCCTGAGGCAGGGGCTGGCGTGGGCCTCAGAGCCTTCTTTCACCTCGTCCCTCGGGTGAAGGCAGCCTGGCCCTACACCCTGCCCTGGGCACTTCCTGCTGCTGCCCTGTCGACACGCACGCCTCTCTTGATGTTCGGGCAGACCCTGGCTTCTACGGAACCCAGGAACTCCTGCACTAGAGAAGAAAACCAAGTTTCCCAGCCACAATGGTGAGAATCAGCAAATCGTCAGGGGTTATTTCAAACTGCCTACAGGAGGAAATGGACAAGAGAAGTGTCCACAGCACAGGGCAAGAAGCCTAACCCTGAGTAATGAGGAGGAGAGAGGCAGCCCCGCCCCGCACTAAGTCCCCAACCCACAGAGCTCAGGGAGAAGTTGAGCTACAGACCACAGGACAGTGACCAGAGCTGGGCTTAAGACAAGATGTGAAGAGACCCCAGGCCACAGCCCAGGCAGGGGGCTTCCACCCAGAGAACCTGCAGCCTGGTGAGCCTGACAGCAGCTGTCCTGCCACGGAGGGACACAGTGAGGTGGCAGGCACCCTACTACACGAAGTCACCTGGAGCAGTGCCTGCTGTCTCAGCAGGTGCAATGCTGAGCACCGAGGAGCAAGTGTTGGCAGGGACTTGTGCTCCTAGTCTCAAGGGGCTGCCGATAGTAGGCAGGCCCCAGCCCTAAGACTGATAAAGCAGAAGGTAAGGGAGGCAGGCAAGGAAGGCAACACCTGGCTTCAGCCAGGTGCAGGGCAGGTGCTCCTTTAGGGTCAGGGCCTAGTACAGCCCATGGGATGGGTTTGAGGGGACTGCAGGTTCCCAGGGAAGAAAGGTGCCACCCTGTGCTCACCTGGCTAAGTATGAAGAAGATGCGGACGTTCCAAAAACGGGCCTGCTCCTGCAGAAATGTTTTCAGGTAGATGCTGTCAAAGGTCTTGAAGCAGCAAACGAGGGTGACGAAGGTCTCGTCCTCTGCATTGTCTGTGATGCTCTGCAGGATGGGCACCATGGGCGCCAGGCCCGTGCCCGCAGCCAGCATGAGGAGCTCACCATACTGGGGAGGAGAAAGACAGGGAGAGTGGGGCTCTCACCCACCCCCCCACATGCTGTGCTGCTCTTTCTGGGCTTTCTTGAACGGCCAGCACTGTCTTTCTAAAAGGGTGCCCCACCTGGTCGGCTCCTCTCCCCTCTCCCAAGAAGCGTCCTGGTGGAGGGCAGTGAGGTCTGTGGAACAGAGATTATGGAGCCTAGAGGTCAAAAGGGAGCCTAGCAGTGCAGCCTGCAGGGCCTCCTTCCACCTTCTGCTGGCGAGGCCCAAGTGGCCTGCTCCTCAGTGCCTGGCCGGCTGCCCTTGTGGGGTCTGCCCACCTCAAACAGCTGAAATCTGCTCCCACTAAAGCCCGCCCACCCCAGCTCCCTTCCATCGCTGCCATCAGGCTGCCTCCTCCATCCCTGCAGCTTCAGAGCCCATCTTGGACCTTCTTAGCCTGCTCTCTTTTGGTTGGAAGAAACGAGGTAAAGAGCCATGCAATAGTGGTGAGGGCCAGCACCATCACCTGCAATCCTCAGGGCCTCCTAAAGAGTGAGACTTTTCAGGTCAGTGCCCTAAAGGCTGTCTGATGCATGCAGAGGCATTGTGTCCCCTCACTGTGAAGGTTGGGCCTCTGTGTAAAGAACCCCCAGCTATGTGATGTGGGCAGGTTCTTTCAACATCCAAACTTGTTTGTTTGCTGGTTAAAAAAAGGGAAATACTGACACTTTCCTGTAACAGCACCTGTTCTAGAACAGAGCTGTCATGACTGCTGGGAGGACAACAAGCCAAGGTTGGATCCTGCTAGGTTTCTTCCCTCCTAAACCAGAGCCTCCCTCCAGGGCTTCTGCCTTCCTCTCATCCCCATGGGGCTACTTCCGGTGTCCCTGAAGCTCCCGGGACTCCCTTGGTACAGCAATGGCATGCTGCAGCCGCGTGTCCATATGCCTGTCTCCTCCAGCAGGCGTCTGGGTCATCTGGCTCACCCCTGGCCCATGCCTGGGTGCCAGCCCTAGAGGCAGCTGTCAGGCCACTGCAGAGGAGCAAGTGGGTTGGCAACACGGTCAAGCCCTGGCCAAAGGGTCACTGGCCAATTGGACCATCCCTGTTCTCTTCCCTCTGGCCCTCCACACCTCTACATGAGAAATCCGGGCTTTTGAGTGCTCTGTAGACACCAAGCAATAGCCATAAGGCATCAGGAAGCTCCCTCGAAAAGGTGGCCAAGATGCTCATCCAGCATCTGCTGCAGGCCAGGAGGAAATAGGAACAATTTCTATGCCTGCCCTCAAAGCCCTGGGGGACAGGGTAGGGCCACTGAGTTAAAATGCACTCGTGGCTTTGGAGGCAGAGGCAGCAAGACTGCCCCAAATTTGAGGCCATCCTGAACTACACAGGGAGATCTTACATCAAAACAAAACAAAACATAACAAAACAAAACTAAACTAACTAAACTAAACTAAACTAAGCTTAAAAAAAAAAGCCAAAACAAGCCAAGCTATTCCGGCTATTCCACCTGTGTGACTTGACATCCTTGCTGTGCTGGGGTTGAATCCAAGGCCTCCTGGGTGCTGGACAAGAGCTCTACCTCTGAGCCACACCCCCAGGCCTGACAATTTTCTTATACACACATCTCAGGTGTGTATGTGTTTGCAAATACTCAGGCAGAGCAGAGGACTTGGAAGAATGCACAGCAGGGTGTGTCTGGGAGAGGGCCTGGGGGTGTTTTCTTTTTGCTCCTCTGTATCAGATGGGGGGACGGCAGCAATGAACATGTGCTGCATTTGCAATAAGGAAAGAAACAAACAAAAACTGTTGGAAAATTAAACAAAAAGAACGGAGGGGCGAGCATGATTCACCGTTTTTTGCTTTGCTTTGCTTTCCTAATTATAAAGGCAATAGGTGTTCACTGCAGATAACTTGGAAAGTGTAAGGAAGGAAAAAATCACCTAGATTTGTACCATCTAGAGCTGCTAACATCTCATTGCATTTTCTTTCATGTATTTTGCACAGTCAGTTTACAAACTTGTTAAATACTCAAGTTTTGTATGTGGAAGTTGCCGCTTGGCTGTACAGCCTAGGAAACCACAGAAAACAATTGGAAATAGAAATTTAAAATCCAGGCTAATACCCCGTCTACCTGTTCCCCCTGCTGCTGGATCTTCAGTTGTCTCTAGTGTGTGCTACTTCAAACACAGGTGCCATGGTGCACCAAGGACTTGGGATTTTGGATTCTTTCTGTATGACAGACTTCCAGAAGTGAATTGCTGGGTCAAAGGATTTAAAGACTTCTGGTACATGCCGCCAAACTGCTTCCCATTAGGGATGCAAAGCGAAGGAGAAATCCTTTCTGAGGAAGTTACTGGAAGGATTTGCCCATGCCAGGAGGATGAGGGCAGCAGGGGCCTTCTGAGCCGGGAAACAGGGGCGCCTCCGACAGCAGCCAGAGCTGCATTTACTGTTGTGAGTGGGATGTGCAGCTGGAGCAGTATCTGAGCGCCACAGGTACTGTGGTCCCAAGCACCAGTGCACAAGCCTGGTTTCCTAAGCAACGGGCAGCCACGGATAGTCCTGGGATGTGGCAGACAGCTCTTCTGGTGCCTGTTCCATCTCTGCCCCGTCCAGTCCCAAGGGTCCTCTTGGGATTGGCTTCATCCTCGGGATCGGTAGAGGCAGATTCCATGGCCTAAAACATGTCAGCCACAGCCCTGCCGAAAAGGTGGGGACCTCTCGCCATTTAGGGAGCTGGCACTGACCTGGTTTGGTTTATAGAAGAAGTCTCCGAAAGGTCCTCTCCAGAAAGCTGTGTCTCCAGCTCTCCAGGACTCGACATACTGGGACATCAGCCCTGTCTTGTAGCACTGGAAGCACACAGAGAGGGAGCTCAGCGGGACCCGCACGTGCTGCCAACAAACACATGCACAAGCCTCGAGTGGGCACTCTCCTGCCGCTGAGGGCTCACAGTGTGACCCCAGGTGATCCTCCTCTGCGTCCTGTGGGCTGGTATCGTCCCACCAAGTTTCAGATGAGCCAGAAACTCCCACACACGGTGAACAGCCAGGCTGGGTTGCAGACCCACAGGACTGAGGCCCTCGCCAGAGCTCTGGAGCCCCTGGGCCTGCAGGTCTCTGCGAAGGAGCCCTGTGAAGAACCAGGCAGTGACTAATGGCAGCACACACCTGGGGCAGGGTTGGGGGGCAGCAGGGAGGCGGGAACAGTGACACACTAGTGGGGGATCCTCTGCCAAGTGGGAGCCACTCTGTGGGATCCTCTCCTTACTTTGAGAGGGTGATGCTACCAGACCTTCTTTCTAATTTTCTAGGAGAGGCAGGAAGTCTATATTTTTATTTAAAATCTCCTCCACACCTTTTTTTCTCCTGCTTTTTTTGAGACAGGTTCTCGCTATACAGTTCAGTCTGGCCTAGCACTCACTATGTAGCCCGGCCGGGCTCACAGTGATCCTCCTGCCTCAGCCTCCTGTAATCCCTCCTAAAATAAAATCTCTCTCTCTCTTTGTTTCATTTTTTTTATTCAAAGATAAAAAAGAAAGAAGGAAGGAAGAAAGAGAAGAGGAGGAGTAAGGAAGAAGAGAAGGAACAGGAAGAGGAGGAAGAGGGGAAGAAGAAGAAGACAATAAAATTTTAAAATATGTCAATCAAGAGGCAACAATGGTACACACATTGCACACTGTCATCCCCGAATCATTCACTCAGACCACAGACATCTGTGTTCCACTGTCCGACAATACCAGCACAAATCTTTCTCTTCAGGGAACTTAGAGAAATCAGTATAACTATCTTAACTGTTTTTTATATACATATACATATACCTATTTTTTTCAGCTTGTTACACTAGGAAACAATAAAATCTCATTTTTAAATGTCAGAAATTCAAAAGAATGTAAGAACATTGCAGGTTAAAACTGAGTACTGCCTTTGTGTGCCAGGTGCAGTCTGCAGGCCACCCTCTGCAATCTCTGCACTATCCTATGCCATCCCTTGGCTGGAGAAGGGTGTTCCTCAGTGGGGACAAGCACATGGCACTGCCTGGGTGCCTGGTGCCATGCTGGGACTGTGGGGCAAACAGCTGCATGAAAGAAGCCGTTGTCTGAAACCTGGAAAACACTTAACACCTGAGCAGATGGATGAATGAGCCCTTTAATACAGATCCAGGTCCTGCCCACACCTATGTCTCAGACACACACAAAGGAGAGACCACCTAGCACTTTGTGAGCAGGATAAAGCCCGGAGGAGGGTGAGGTCCCAGAAGAGGAAGGTTTGAGCTGGACCACGAAGGATGGGCAGGATGGCGTTCCCTGGGGATAGGAACAGCCTCTGAGCATTGAAGCAGCACACTCAAGGTTAGGACAGCCCTGCCTGGAGGGCTGTGGGAAGGGGAAGCACTGGAGACAGGTGTTTGGAATGAAGGAAAGAGTAGGCTTCGGCAGGACAGCAGAGCACAGCACTGTAATCCCAGCACTTGAGAGGCTGAGGCAGGAGGATCATCACAAATTCAAGGCCAGCCTGGGCTACAAAGTAAGTTCAAAGCCAGCCTGAACTACGTAGCAAGATCCTACTTCAAAACAAATTAGTAGGTCTTAGAATTGCTTTTGAGCATCCACAGCCACCTGTAATACCATCCTGGAGTTCTATGGCACTATCTTCGTGTGTGTGTGTGTGAAGGCACAACTCCAAGGGCACAGCCTTGTTCCTGCCTTGCTGGAAGCAGTGTATGTCCGGGCACTCTGCTTTCTAGCCCCAGGCTGGAGGAGGCACAGCCAGCCATGGCCATAAGTTCCATAGCACAGACACCACCACAAGAAGGGAAGGGTTCCGCTGTGGCCCTGACAGACACAGTGTCTCCCTGCAGCAAATGCTCAGCACCGTAGTGAACTACAGTGACTATCCAGTAACTTCTGTCCTCCCACCAGGGATTGCACTGCTGAAGGGTCCCCTGAGCTCAGTTTTTCCATCTGTTAAATGGGGATAATGAGAGCTACTTGTGGTTTTGAGGTTGAAACAAGACAGTGAGAACAAAGAGCCTGGAGCACTCCTCGGTGGCCAGCAGGTCTCTAGGAAGCAGGAGCCCTCTCTCCTTTAGTCAGGAAGGAAGCCCACACGCCCTGCCACTTTCCCAGTTTGCAAAGGCATTTTCAGCTCTTCCCACCAGCAGCTTAGGGATAATGAGGCTTCGTGCAAATGAAGAAGCAGAGCAGCCTTGCAGCTGGGCAGGCTCCAGCTGCTCCGGAGAACCGTCTCCAGGCTTATCCTCTCGGCGAAAGCACCCAGACAAGCAGCATGGGAAGCAGGCCATTTGGAGAGGATTTTCGGAATCTCCCAGACAAACATCAGTGTGCAGAAGGATCCCATCCACCGTGTAAAGGAATAAACACTCATGCTGTGCGGGCAGCGGGGGAGGCAGGGGCCGGGCACAGTGCCCGGGCACAGTGCTGGGCTCTGAGTCAAGGGCCAGGGTGACAATGCGATGCACGTCTCGTAGGGGACGGTGTGATGCGGAGCTCTCCTCCTGTACTCCTGCTGCCTAGGACTGCACTGGGGAAAGCACAGTCTTAGGCTGACCCACAGCAAACTGCTGTTTCTGTAAATAAAAGCATTAGTGCACCAGTAGTTCGAAATACCTGACTTAACTACCTTCTGCAAGTCACGGGCCTCTGTGACTTCTGACACGTGCCACCCAGGCCTCGGCTCTCGGAGGCATTCTGTACCCAACTGATTTTGCTTAAGCGCACTGCCGCCGCCGCTGCCCTACAGCCAGTCCCCCCTCCTGCACTGGGGTTAGTACAGTTCCCAGACCTGCTCTGCGTCACCCCCGTGTCCATCCCTTCAGCCTGCAACGCCATCCTCTGCCACCACCAATCGGTCCCGACTCAAGCGCCCTGCCCACCTCCCCGAGAGGGGGGGTCATGACAGCTCCCTCTGCGAGGCCCTCCGTGTCCGCCTAAGTGCACACTGCCCCTCGGCCTCACCTTCGCCTCTGGGGAGGAGACTGACCTCCCTGAATGATGCCTCTTGCCACTGTCTATGCAGGTAGCAGCCTCCAAGCTTCCTCCTAGCCCTTCCACACACAGCTCTGCCAGGAGGCCCAGGTACCTTGCTCACACTCCCCGCTGAGCCCCCTGAGCCGGGCTGAGCCTCCAGTCACAGTGCCTACCATGCTGTGTCATCTACATCCAGTCATTGTCCTGGCTGGGTTCTTACAGGGCAGGCATAGTGTCTGACTCACCTCTGGTCTACAGCACCCAGCACACACAAGGTGCAGGTGCTCATCCTCCTCCCTGGCCTAGCCTGAAGCTTCCTGTCTAGCAGGTAAAACCTCCTGGGAATAGGCGCCCTACCCTTCCCCTGCCCTGTTATTCCTCAAGCCAGCCTCCTCCCTCCAAATCCAGGTAGGAACTGCGCCATCCTAAAAGAGCTCGTGAGGGAGGCACTGGCCCAGTGCATCAGACAGCAGCCTCCACAAGTGCCAACTCACCTTAATCAGAACTTCAAAGTATCCTTCTGCACTGGGAGGGCTGATGGGAGTATAGGCTCTCTGAATTTCTAAGTCTTCCACTGTCCCCCTAAGCAAGAGAAGCAGTCTGTCAGGCAGTGGTCAGCTAGTCATTCAACAAACCCTCCTTCAGCACTTCCTCTGTCAGGCTGGAGAAAGTACCAGTGAAGTCTAGTCATTGCTAGAGGACATCCCTGAGGGGCAGGTGAGGTGCTGCAGAAGAGCACTGGCTCACAATGCTTGAGACCCAACAGGCCCTTTAATGTCTCAGCAGTTCCCACTGCAAAGCAGAAACAGCTTGTCCGGATTGTGCGGCCCCACTGGAACGACAGGAGAAGGTGCTGCCCAAATGTACCGCTGGGACTGAGGCTCTGGCTCAGAGGGCTCACATGGTGAGAGAGGCCCTGGGTTTTGCCCCGGCACAGAAAAAAACCAAAAAAAAAAAAAAAAAAAAAAAACCCCAAAACCAAAACCTAGCAAAACAAACAAACGAAAAAAACCAGAAGGTAAACTGACAATCTTGGGGGTTTTCCTGATCTCAACTCTAGAGTGGTAAAGAGAAAAACGACACTCGCTGCCACGTTCCCGGAGAAGCAGACCTGGAGGGCCGCCCCATCTCCTGTATGAATCCCCTCCACGCATTGGCCATGGTGGGTCAGGTCAGTAATGGCCAGGGCCACGTGCTTCGAGTGCCCACTACCCATCATGCATATTATACACATGATCTTATTTTACTCAAAGTGCAGCACAAACGCAGAATCTAGAGTCATGAGGAGGGTTCTTCGCACAGCCAGAACTTCCCTGCGTCTTTGAGCCGGGCTCCTGGCTACTGCTTGGCCTGGGAGCGCCCATCACCTCCTCTCCTCAGGCCTGAGCAGGAAAACCAGCTTCACTCGGGTGCACAGTGAGCAGGCCTCGCCCTGGTGTGCCACAGCTCGGGAACTGGTGGGGAACCGTCAGGCTGAGAGCAGGGTTGTGGGGGAGGAGGGACCTGGTGGGACGGCGTGTTCTAGAAGGTAGACAAATGGGGAGCTACATGGCCAGATGTATGCCTGCTGCGAACGTTACCAGTGTGGTACAGAGGGTGGTAGACAGGATGTCATGTGGAAGCAGGAGTTCCGGGCATCCCTAGTTCATAATGGGGCTGCAACCCACTCCGTGGCTCTTCTCGCCCCTGGAACAGTGAAATTTAAGAATTCCCAGTTTTGGCACAGGCCAGAAGGAGCTGGCCACGAGGACCTGGGGCCACTGTGAGGCAAGTGGCCAGCCTCGCCTGGTCCCATACTGTTTCTGGCTGTTCCTGCCATCTCCTTCACTGGCACCTCCTCTTGCCAATCCTACGAACCCCAGTGTTTTGGCGTTTACTCTTTTCATACATGCATGCTCCTCAGTGCCAGCAGGTTCTATGCCGCTGACTCCCATGGAACCGAGTGCCTGGCAGGTGCTCTGCCTGGACGTCCTGCAGGCTCCACTCCTGGGAAGCAGAGGGGTGGCACCAGGAGTGAAGCAGAACACTGGGGCAGGCCAGGGGGAACCTCGGAGGCATGGCAGGAGCCAACGCTGTATGGGTCCGAATCCTGGCTCCAAGGCAGGTAGATGATCTTGGCCAAGTTTGTTGTTCTCAGTGACAGTATCCTTTCTATCAACTGGTCCTAATCAGACTAGGTTAAAACCACAGGCTCTGGAGCCAGAGGGCCTGCCCTCAAATTCTGGCTCTACCACCTCCTAACTGTGTGACCTTGGGTACATTTGCAAACTCCTCTGATTTCAGGTTCCTCTGACGCATGATAATGGGCCCTGGCTCACAGGACTTTGAGGCTCACACTAGCTCATGGATATATGTGCGTGTGCTGTGCCTTGCTTGGTAAGTGCTAATAAAGGGCTTGTTTGTCTTGAAAATGTACCACCTAGCTCCATCCCGCAAACCCTCGGGGTCACATGTGACTGACTGTTTCTATTCTGAAGATGAAAAATAGGAGCCTGAAGGGAGGTCAAGCAAGTTTTCTGGATCACTCAGCTAGTCAAGGGCAAAGCAGGGTGGCAGGGCTCCAGTCCCCCCGGCCTGATATACCGTAGGATGAGGTGCTGCCCGGGCCGCAGGCCAAGCTGGCTGTTCCCAGGCAGAGCAAACCGGACATGGTAGGTGTCATTGGTGACTTTGTCCAAAGCACTGATGCGGAAGGCCAAGAAGTTCTCCGGGTTCAGCTTGGAGGGGCAGCTCTGCAAAGGGAAAGACCGGAGGTAGAGGCTGAGCTCCAGGGTGCATGGCATCACTTTCCTGACAGCTCTCACCTGGGAGGCCTTCTGTGTGTGACAGACTGCAGCCTCTGATCCCAGAATGCTCCCCGGAGCCCCAGAATCAAGCATGGGCCTTTTGACCTACATTCCAGGGCCCAGTGGATGAACTTCAAGCCTCATTCTGTCTCTCCTACGTCTGATGCCTGACTTTTCTCCCTCCTTCAAGCACACCTGCTGCCCTACCACTGGGCCCTCGCCACTCAGGATGAGCTCTCCCCCCAGAACACACCTCCACTGTGTGAAACACCTGCGTGCCCTGCCAATGTGTTCAGCTTCAGATCGGCACAGCTGAGAAACCGATGGGCCTTTTAAGGTGATCAAGTCCAATACCCTTATTTTATATGAGGACACTGAGGCTGAGCAGTAGCAGCTTACATGGCCAAAGTAAGCAGGGACTCCCATTTATGAGTCTCAGTCCACTGACGGTATCATTCCATCCCTCCTGAGGACTCCTGCACAGGCCTTCTCTGAATGCCATAACTCATCAAGTGCTCCTCCATAAAATGCCACATGCACAGGAGTCCCTTGTCAGGTCAAGCCGGGGTACCAACTCTGGAGCCCTGTTACAGCTGTGTCTGATGTTCCTCCAAAGCCTCATTTGGTCATGGACGGAGCTCTTCAGAGGTAGCTGGCTTTAGGGTGCATGATGCTGGGATTGGGGGTGCCCTACCCTGGGTATGGGTGGCATCTCCCAAAGGGCAGGTACATGGACAAAATACAAAGGCAGGCCTGGCTGCTGTGACTTCGCTGCTGGCTGCCATCCGCCCGCCACGCAGTTTCTCCTCCATGTCGCCCCTCTGCTGCACCACCCTGGCTTGGAGCCAGCGGACTCCAGACTGAAGCCTCTACACACTGACACAGACCTTTCCTCCTTTACGTTTTGGTATTGGGTGGTTTGTCTCAGCAACGAGAAAAGTAAGACGAAACCCTAGTTACCCACGGCAGGGCCAAGTGTCACAAAGCCCACAGAAACTTTGCCTCCACTATATCAGTTCCTGTACCACACTCGCCATCTCGTGTAGGCTGAGGTGACCTGTTCATCAGCAGCCAGAGCACCCAGACACCTGTCACAGCTGCCACAGCGACCAAGAGCACTGCACTAGGAGCACCAGGTCACCCCAGCTGAACTGCTGCCCACCTGCGCAGTCTCACGTGGTCACCTGATCGTCTAGGTTTCAGTTTCCTCATCTACAAAAAAGGGCTATTTGCTCCTGATAAATGTATGGAGTTATCCTAAGGGGCAGATGAGATAATAGAAAAACATTTTATAAAGTATAAACGGCTATCAAAATATCAAATCGTTTTTGATTATTTATTAAAATTATTAAATATTCTATAAGATTTATAAGAATCATTTAACTATTTGTCACAATAGGTAGAAAACATCTACTTTTTACTGACCCCCTATTATACGTCAGAGGCTTTACATATTTATCTTACGAAATCCTTGTAATAACTTACCAAGTATTAACAGCCACATTATTCAGATGAGAAGACTGAAGTTTAGCCAACTAAATGACACAAAAATATGTGAACAGGGGCTTAGCACACATCTTTTGTGGTTTTCATCCTCCTTCTATGCGCAGAGGTTTGTGTGCGCATGTGTTGCTGAGGCTTGAACCCAGGGTCTTGTGTATTCAAGGCAGGAACTTTGTCACTGAGCTGCATCCCCTGCCCCTGCACTGAGTTTTTAGGGTTGTAACTCTGGCATCTTTTTCTTTTTTTGATACTGGGAATCAGGCAGGTGCTGCACCACTGAGCTACATCCCCAGCAATCCCGGCACCTTTATCATCAACTTCTTTGCACCTAGGACACAGAATGTGATACTTGGCAGAACTGTTTACTCATTTAGTGGTTATTAAAAGCAATACCAAGACGCTGAGGAGAGAAGAATAAGCCAGAGACTCTTTCTCTTATAAAACTTCCATTTTAACAAGAAGATATGGACAAGGCACATGCAAACAAGGACATCTAGAAGGCGTCTGATGCTGTGGAGAATCAGGAAGAAGACCAGGAGATGTGCCTCCGTGCAAGAGTGCTTGCCTAACATTTGTGAGACCCTGGGTTCAATTCCTAGCAAAACACACAAACACACACACACGCACAGAGAGCAAGATTTGAGCAGAGTCACCAAGCAGTGGTGGAGTGAACTACATAAAGGTGAAAGCAGTGAGAACAAAAATCACAGGGCTCCCCAGTTATTGGCAGAGGCCCAAAGGCAGAACTCTAAGGAGACACTGAACTGGAACCGAAATAGTCATGCTTTGGAGTTTTTTTAACTGCATTTGTTCAGAATCTAAAATCTATATGATCTATAGCTTAGGAATCACATGGATAAAAAGAACTACATTTTGGGGCAGTTCAGGTCAAACTGTGACAGCCAAAAAGTAACAATGGGGCCAAGCTGCGTGAACAGAGGCAGTAACAGGAAGGTCTCTACTCCACAGTGGCCAAAGGAGACAAGGACTGTGGCATCTCCACTTGGACGCAGGAGGCCAGCATAGGGACAGATTCAAAATTTGACCTGTGCACAATGTTGGAATGGGTCTCAGTTTCCCAAATTGTAGAACATGGAGTTGAACTCTCCAGTGTTAGACATCTGTAACTGAAATTCTGAACCCTCTTTTAAACATTATAATTAAGGCTTACATTGCTTGGTCCAGATGATAAAATCCCTTGGAGTTCAGAAAGGGAAGAAAAAAATCAGTCGGGATAAAGAGGAAGAAATAACAACAGTGTGCTCCACTAAACTAGTATGCACTATTAGCTCATCTGTTCCACGGGGCAAAGACCATGTCTGTCTGGTTCACTCCTAACTCTTCAAGAGCTCAGAGGGCCTGGTATAACATGGATACTCAGCAGGTATTTGTTAAGTGAAATAAATCCAGGTTTATGTCATACATCACAAATGTTTACCCCCCTTTTACAGATGAAGACATTAAGGCATAACTAGGTTAAGAGACTTTGACTACAACCACAGAGTGTTTCAGGCCTGGACTTTGTTCCCAGAGTACCTGCTTCCGGTAGAGACATTTGTTTCTCTGGCACCCAGACCAGGTAAAGGCTGCCCCCGTGGCCCTCTAGTTTGAAAAGCAGCCTGCTCACCTGTGGCTGCTTCCCGCTCAGCAGGCTCCTGTCGTTGCTGGCGTGGGCTGCCTCCCACCTTGCCAGGTCTCGGTGATAGAGGTCAAACACGCAAGGTGAGCAGCCGCTGCCGCAGCACTGGGACGGCAAGGGCTCCACAGGCCGCAGCTGCAGCCAGGCTTCCTCAGCATCTTCCTTCTCCCTCTCAGCCATTGTCAGCGGGGCTTGGGCAGCCTGGGTGGGACAACTGTGTGTTCTTCCCAGCGCAGGTCAGGCTCTGTGAGGCCTCAGGCCCAGGTCCGTCCTGCCTTGCTGGTGTGGGAGAAGGAAGACATGGGAGTTATGCTGTTGACTCCTCTCTTGCTCACCTTCTCCCCAAGGAGTGCTGGTGCCAGGCTCTGTGCATGACTGGGGCAACAACAGGTCAACCACAGACTCTACTATCTGGGTGGGATGTACTTACACTTACTACTACTGGTTTCTCTATACAAAATAAATCTTTTCATAGTAGAGAAAAGTTTTTGGCTTTAGGAAACCTGGTTCTACTACACAGGAACTCTATGACTTCAGAAAAGTTCAGTAGGCTGGGATCCTGATGTAGGCGAGGACGGTGTCTTACTCTTTCAGTATTTTCCAAAACTGAGCCCAGCCTGGCATACGGAAGGCTCCAGTTCATTCGTTTTACAGATGTGGTCTGGGAGGGCTGCAGATGTGGCTCTGAGGCCAAGCATTTGGCTAGCATGTGAGAGGCCTTCGGTTTGATCTCTAGCACCACAAAACAAATGAACAAAATACAAAAGAGAAACTTCTAGACTAATATGATCTGAGAGCCAGGCACAGGAACAGATTCTGAGAGACAACAGAGGGAAACAGGGTCAGGCAGGCCCTGCTCATAGAGCCCAGCAACCAGCATGGTGTGCCTGCGATCCAGCCCATTTGAATTGTGTGCTACGTACCAGGTATGGATTATGAGTGAGGTCCAGTCCCCTCTTTATGCCCATTTCTTACTTTGTGTGGTCCTGGGGGTTAAAGGGAGAAAAGGGAAAGTGTTCTGTTAACTGTAAACTGCTAAATAGTGTAAGAGTTAGTCTTATCAGTCTACCTTAAATGTACTTTTCCATGTTTTAATAATCTCTACTCTTTTAGACACCGGTGGAGAAGTTGGCCACATTAGCTATGCATTTTAAAGATATGATCCACGCTCCCTTTCCACCTCTGCTTTTTAAGTCTACCAGGTGCCATCAAGTCACATTCTGACAAATGTCAACTCTGTCTGGTTGCTTCTCCCAATCTCCAGACCTTGGCTGACAGCTTCCCTCAAGGGCATCCCTGAACCTCCCCCTTGTTATTCTCTACCACTCTTTTGTTTTGCATTCGTTTATTGAACATCCATTGACCATACGCCAGACACTGTTCTAGGTGCCCGGGACACAGAAGAGAAACAGAAACCTCTGCAATCACGGGGAGTCATTAAACTAAATCAAAAGGGAAAAGATACAATATGACAGCGTTAATCTAGAGAAAAGTATCCAGAGAGAAGCAATAGGATGTACTGTTTTCGTTGTCGGCCTGCGTGCTGTCCACGTATCCTACTAAAACTCTAAGCTCTACGCGTTGCATGTGGTATTCACCATAAAAGCACCCGCAGCGGGGAGAAGAGATCCGTGAGGAAATCACTAAGCACCGATTACGCGCTGGGCGCTGCGCTGGGACGTTAGCTTAGGCACCGTACTACTTTTTTCTTCTTTTTTTTTTTTATCGGTACCGGAGATCGAACTCACGATCTCGCGCTTGCAAGGCAGGCGCTTATGCCGCTGAGCTAAATCCCCAGCCCCTATACTACTTTCTTTTCACAGTGAAAGGAACTGGGGTCTTACACAAGTGCACTACCCTGTTAGCCATGAAGCAGTCTGGAGCTTAGCTATGAACTGCGGCGCTCTTGTCGTCCAGCCCTTGGTCCTGCCGCGACCACTCACCTAAAGTTCGCAAACTTCCCTCACGTGAGACTCCTCCACAATCCTCTCCATCCCCGCCCCCGGGAAAGGTGAGCGCGTTCAGTGGGCGCCACCTATAAGGAAATGAGAACGGCTCGCGGGGTGGGGACAAGGCAAGGTACGTTGACTGTGACTGGTTGAAGTTACTGCCATTCACAAAACGAGCCTCGGCGCCCAGCCCCTTTTGTTCCCGGCAGGCCCTGCGGGAAAGATGGCGGCGTCCGGGTACAGTTCTAGAGGAACCCTGATCGGAATGGCGTTGGCGTCTAGGCCCGCACAGCGGGCCTTCCTTGGCTCTGGACAGCTTGGCTTTGGGGCCTGCGGGATCCCGAGACGCGAGGCGTACGAATGGGGAGTGCGCTCCACCAGGAAACCTGAGCCTCCCCCACTGGACAGGGTATATGAGATCCCCGGACTGGAGCCCATCACCTACGCTGGAAAGATGCACTTCGTGCCTGGGCTGGCGCGGCCTGTCTTTCCGCCCTGGGACCGCGGTTGGAAGCACCCAAGGTACCACCGCTCTCCCCCGATCCACGAGCAGCCGCTGTACAAGGAAGAGCCATGCTACATCTTCCACCAGCGTTGCCGTCTCCTCGAGGGTGAGACCCCAGCATATACGGGAGGGGACCTTGTGCTCTGCCCGGTACTAACCCGGACCCTCTGTGTCTTTGGGCAAGATACTGAAACTCTGTGGGTCTTGGATTCTTGGCGAAATGTAGTCATAGTGATAGCTGTCTTCTGAGAGTTATCAAGAGTAGGTGGGTGGAGAGAACTGTGCTCTCATTTAAGGAGTAATCGAGTTTCAGAGTGAAAAGATCTAGTTTCCAGGTCTAGCCTCAGCTGTAACTCTTAGGGTGAATTCGGGAGAGTCCTCACTGTCCTGAGACTCCAGTTCGATGAAATAAGTGGCGTTGACTAGGCAGTACTTGTGCATTTAAGGAGTAGAAAAGAGAAGTCGTACTGAAAGGAGATAGCAGAAACAGTGTTTAATTTGCAGGCTTATTACCTCATTTACAGGGTTGCTAATTGTAAGAAAAAGGAAGTGATTTTCGTACTGAAGTATTGTCCTTTTTCAAAGGTGAGAACTGAGATGCTTTCAAGGAAAGGATCTGGGCCTTTCCTTTTCCCTACTTCTGTTCCTATGTCACTGTTTTACCAACACATTGAAATGATTAAGCCAAAGTCAGTCGTCTTTCTTGAGCATTGTCAGAAATTATTTTCTAGAGTGCGTGAGAGACCGGGTAGGGGGAAGGCGGTGTTCATTGAGAATGCCATTCCCCATCCCTTGTTTCCCACCAAATCAGGATGGGAGCAGGGCATGTCTTGAAAACAAAATGGTTGAGGTAAGTGGGAGTAGTATTTTCCAAGGCGTAATCAGGAAACATAGAGATCTGGCAGGATTTGGGGAGTAAGAGAATAAATCTTAAATTTGCAAAAACTGAAGTCAATTGGCCAGACTGTTAAGCTGCCAGCTGGTTTGCCAGCTGTTAAACATTTGAATGGTCCTCACAGGATGCTGTGACGGAACGAACTCACAAGACTTGGCACCCTTGAGTGACCCGTGTAACAGAATACCAAGTAGATAAATGTGGTAACAGTATTTAGAAGTTAAGATTACATTCATTTGACTAGGCTTTCAACACTAGAAGAGGTTTTATATTTTATAAAGTCAGTGACGAAACTGCAAGATACAGGGCTAGAGAAGCCTGTCTGGATAATGAAGAGATTATGGACTTTAGGGTAAACAGACTGAGTTATCCCTCCAACGCTGTCACTTTCAAGGTGTGTAATGGGAAACAGAAATTCCTTGGTCTGTGTTTTCTCTTTCATTTCATAAAAATCATGTCTTAAATTGCAGATAAAGCTGCTGGCAAAGGGTAGATAGTGACATTCTGTAAATGGCAACTCTGAGTAGTACGTAGTATGTATTGTACCAGCAAAGCATAAAATCTTAATGTTTTTTCCATTTTTAAGGTTAAGGAACAGTGGCAGTGGCAACACTAAAACAGTTTACCTGACTTGCAGTCCAGGGTTCTCCTGCTGCACCACCAAATGTAAACATGTCTAAACATTTGGATTTCTAGTATGAGGTCCTGTGAGTCTTAAAGTGAACCAAGTCCTGCTGCCCTTCTGGGTGGTTCATGTTTCCACAAGAGAAATTGCTTGAGGTGTTTCCTGCAAAGCCTGCCTTTATTCTTGGACACAACTTTTTGAATGCAGATGTATTCCAGAGTCAGTTTTTCCAGCGGGGATAGATAGTAGCCTGCCAACCAAAGCAGTCGCCAGCTCCCTTGTGAACTCGCAGGCATAATTAGTGAGAAGAAAGGGTGTAGTGCTATTTTCCTCTAACAGTAGAAGAGTTGCGTATTTACTTATCAGAATTTAGTTTCTGGGGCTGTGCCCTCTTTGGGGACCACAGTCCATACCAGTGAGAGTAGGTAGGCTCTCTAAGTTTAAAAGGACAGTCTAAAGTGAGTATGTTTAGTTTGTACACCCCATCTTTCTGAAAGGTATTTTGGAGAACTTAAAAATACTTTATAATGTTAGCAGATTACATTAGAAACACATAAAGATTGGAGATGTAACTCTGTGGTAGAGTGCTTGCCAAGTGATACACAGCTGGGATCGGCTAACTAGGCCAGCCCTCCTGTTTTTGTAAATCAAGTTTTATTGGTTACAACTGTGTGCACATGTTAGCTTGTGGCCTCTTTTGTGCTACATTGGCAAGGATGAGTAATTGTACTAGAGACTACTGAAAGTTTACTGTCTGGACTTTTTAAGAAAATGCTTATTGACCCTCAGTATACTGACAAACATTTTCATTTATTCACTGTGTCCAGCCTTTTTTGAGACACGGTCTTGCAATGTAGTTTAGGCCAGTCCTGAACTTACTGTGTAGCCCACCCACAGTGGCCTTGAATGTGCGTATGCCACGTGCAGGGATAAAAGCCAACCTTTCTGTACAAGGGCCAGTGAGAATGTCAGAGGTCTTAGAAAGTGAATTAGAGCAGCATCCTTATTAGTACAATTCTTGTGACAAAAATAGCAGTGTCTTACATAGTGCTGCTTTATATAAAAACCTGTTTATAAAATAGTTCCTAATAGAATATCAGGGTTAATTTAAATAAGATGTGAAAAATTATTTGTCCATATAGTCCCAAACTCTGGGCTTCTGAAATTATTCATGAAAGTCTAAAGGGATTCGTATTAATTCCAAAAGACACTTGGTAAGGTAGTATAGGTCTACGCCTGGACTCGTATCTAATAAATGAGGTATGTTGGGCTTTTTTAATTGGAGCTGGAGTATGGATGCATAGGAGAAATCTTCCTTTTCTTTTTTTTGGAAATAGGATCTCACTGTGTAAATCAGACTGGAACTCACTATGTAGTCTATGCTGGCTTTAAACTTACAATGTTCCACCTGCCTCAGCCTACCAAGTGCTGGAATTACAGGCATGTGTGACCATGCCTGGCCTCACAGGAGGAATTTTTGACATCCATGGTGTAGTTCCATGTCTCCAATGTGGCTACCTCCTGCAGGATTCCGCCGCATGACCTCAACTGTCCAAGCTCCCATATCAATGTGGCAAGTGCTTAGTACCTCAGTCGACTGACTGGTCATCATTTTTAAGTAGGTGGTGGTTCTTGAAGTTGAGTTGAAATCTGATTCCCCTGGCTTCCAGCTCTTCTGATGTGATCCACGTAGGTGTCCCAGACCAAATCCAGGCCCCTCTTGAAGCGGCTTTTTCTACATGATTCTGCCTCACCACCATGAGCATCTCCTTCTGAACCAGCTTGTCTTTTGTTGTTTGGTGTGAATTACTGAAGGAGTGAAGCAGGCTCTCTGGCTGACCAAGACCAAGCTAATAGAAGGCCTTCCTGAGAAAGTTTCCAGCCTTGTTGACGAGCAGCAGAACCACATAGAGAACCAAGATGAGCGTGTTCTGAATATTATCTCTCACGCCCGTCTCTGGCACTCCATGGAGGACATTCCCAAGAGAGAGACCTACTGGTAAGTGGCCCTAAGTAAATAAGATTTCTAACTGATGGGTCTTGGAGTCAGCTTGTTGCTTAAGTCCCTGTGTCTTTTTTTTTTTTTTTCTTTCTCCAAGCCCAATCATTGTGGACAGCTTGCTTCAGCTGTGTAAATCCCAGATTCTCAAGTACCCTTCTGTGGCCAGGCGGATTTGTGCCAAAAACCACTCGTTATCTGCCGCTTGGACTCGAGGTTGGTCATCTTGTACAGCAGAAAGTCTCGCTCTGTTTCTTTATCTTTCTACTCTCAGCTCTTCCACCACATTCCTCTACCTCTAGCTGCCCAGATACCTATCTACTCTTTTTTTTTTCTTTCTTTTGTCTTTTTGAGACAGGGTCTCACTATGCAGTCACTATGCAGTTCAGGCTGGCATTGCCGAGTGATACATAGCTCTTACTTTTGTAGCCCATGCTGGTCTTGAACTTGGAACGATCTACCTGCCTCGGCTTCCCAAGTGCTAGGGTTACAGGCGTGCGCCACCACACCCGTATCTTTACTCTTTCATGACCTGGTTTTGTAGGGTCAGATACATGGTCAGTATCATTAGTTATAACCCTATCTTTTAATTTTTAATTGCTTTTCTGAGATTGTTGATTCAGTTATTAACAGCCAACCATGTGCCACAGTGGGCTTGGGAATGCCTAAATGCTGACGATAAGGAGATAATAAAACACTGGATACTCTTCTCTTCATGTTCACATTCTGAGCAGTAGCCTTCTTGTCCCCTTCCAGCTTCAGTCTTTCCAATCTGTGCTGAATGTTAGCTACTAACCAGGCCTTTCTACAGGGTGGCTCTTTGTAGGTGTCTCCCCCAACTCAAATCCTTCACCGTCTCTCGTTGCCTTCACCCTCTTAGGTCACGTACCAGGCTGTCTGTGATTTGACCTAATCTAGGTTTGTCTCCTCCTCCAGTGCCCTCTCTCCTATCCTCAAACCTAAGTTAGCTCTGGCAACTTTTCCATCCGGAAGGCTCTTTTCAGTTGCTTCATGTGACCAAATTACACTTGGCTGCAAGACTCAGCTCAAGCCGTTGCTTTGGAAGTCCAGGCTGGCTTCGTGCTCCCCCAGCACGCTCCTGATGCTGCCATAACACTTCACACTCTGTTGCATCTTCCCGATGGCTTTTCTTACTTCTTGTATCTGCAGTGTCTCATAGGTTGTGCCACACAGTAGGAACTGACTGAAGGGTTAGCGAACGAGTACCAGCTCTCTGATGTTGCAAGGATGTCAGAGGACACAGATGCCCTGCAGGGTGGAGTCCTAGAGCAGGGAAAGCAGCTATTGAGTGATTTGGAACTTAAGGATGTCTCTTTGGTCACATTTCTCCAGTTTGCCCCTTTGCATATGGACTTCCTGGCAAGAAGTCAGCCTTGCAGAGGTAATGGCACCACTAAGGAAATTCGTGCACCTCATTAATGGAGGAGTCCTTTTTGGCCCATCATCAAGTATCACCTCTAATTAAACTGCCCCATTTGGAGCTGTCACTGGAGGAGAGATGTGGAGGGAATTGAATCAGTAACCACATTAGAGTGGTCTGTGGGGAGAGTATAAACCCCAAGGTTAGGAGAGGTCCAGTCTCATTTAGATTCCTTGAAAATTGTATATGAAGAAACAGGAAATTGGGGGCTGGGGATTTAGCTCAACAGCATAAGTACCTGCCTTGTAAGCAGGTGGTTGTGAGTTCGATCCCCGGTACCGATAAAAAGGAAAAAGACTGAAAAAAAAAGAAACAGGAAATGCTTTAGGAAGCTAATCTCAAGCTGTGATTATGATATATTTTAACAAGCAGACCAAGGTTTATTAATCCATAGATATTACATCCTTTTTTTTACCCAGTAAGGGAGGCTATATACTAATTAAATGGCAGTGCTGTTGACCAAACTAATTTTTGGGCTTATAAGATTAGCCTTAGCTAGGCATGGTGGTGCACACCTATAATCCCAGCACTCCAGAGGCTGAGACAGAAGGATCACTGTGAGTTCAAGGCCAGCCTGGGCTATCTTATAAGTTTAAGGCCAGCCTGAACTACATAGTGAAACCCTATTGCAAGAAAAGAAAATCAGGCTTATGTCCTCTCTGGAGCTGGTTTATTTCTGCAGAGTAAAGTGTGTTCCTCAGAGCCCTGCTGGCTATGCTCGAGGAACCTTACTGGGTGCATTTTGTTTGCTGGTGGCCTGTGCCCCCTGCAGGGACCCTGAGGAACATTTGCCCACATGGTCACTGGGGAGTCAGCCTCGAGCTTGTTCCTGCAGGCCCTCTGCAGCTGTGTAACATGTCTGCGTCCGATGGGCACAAAGCTTTGGCTCAGCGTTTCCCCCCCAGCCCCTGTGGGTCATGTGATCTCTGCCCTCCGGTCTCAGGGCTTTTCCCTATCTTTAGAGCCGGGTCACCCCGTGGTCCTGTGGGTGCATTTCCCTCTGGCGTGGCCTGTGTTACTCCCCATTTCACTTGCCTGGCAGACACCTACCTCATGGGTTTTCAACCAGAGCAGTCCCAGGGGACACATGGTGGTATCTGGAAAGATTTTTGATTGTCTTGTCTTGGATGAGGAAGGTCTTCACTGGATAAAGCCAGGGCTGCTGCCACATACCTTCCAATGCACAGGATGGCTCCCCTCGCCGAAAAATTGTCTGGTCTAAAGTGTGAACAGCGCCCAGGTTGAGAAATCCTGCTCGTTCCATATCTCTCTCTCTCTCTCTCTCTCTCTCTTTTTTCTTTCTCTCTCTCTCTCTTTTAGTTGTTTTTTCCAGTACTGGAGATTGTACCCAGGGAGCACCAAACTATACCCCCAGCCCTTCCCATTTTTATTTTGAGACAGAGTCTTGCTAAGTTGTCTAGGCTGTCCTCAAATTAGAGACCTTCCTGCCTCAGCCTCCTGTGTATCTGGGATTATAAGGCATGTGCCACCAGGCCTGGTCAGAAGACTGATTTTAAGGCACTGCTTCTTTCAGGAGTTCCCCAGGCTCCCCAGAGAAGCCCCATCTTCTTGTCTGAGCTGTATCCAAATCTGGCTCCTACTTTTTGCTATAGCATTTGTTTCCTGATAAGCATCATGACAGCAGATCTGGTCCCTGACTTAGAGCTGTGCTCCGGGACACTTGCGTGGGGCAGCCCAGACTCCCAGGGAACACAGGAAGAAGTACACGGGTTCATCTCCCACCTAGGACCCCTCCACTGACATTCTGCCACCAAGTCCTGCGTTCAGGCTTAGGCCAGTCATCTAGTCATCAGGTTATGGACCTGAGGTGCAGGGGGCTGAACGCTACAGATTCCGCCGGGCAGAGGAAAGCTTGAGGCCAGGTGGGACTAACCATCTTTTCCCCCTTTTAGAGTCTGTTCTCCTTCAGGTCCGAGGTACTAGTGGCATCCGACTGAGTGCCAAGGATCCTCTGCCCCCCATCGCCTCCAGAGAGGAGGTCGAAGCCACTCGGAATCATGTTCTGGAGACTTTCTACCCCATATCCCCCACGATTGATCTTCAGGAGTGCCATGTATACGACCTGAAGGATGACACAGGTGGGAAGCAGAGCCTGTTATTTTTACTGTGTGGAGATGAGGGAAATGACTTTGCTGAAGGGAGAAGGATATTCTGAGAACTGAGCAGGTGCCAGGCACTGGCGATTGAGAGATGCTGCCGTCGAGGGCACGGGGGCTCAGAGGGAGTGGTTAGCTCACAGGCCAGCTCATTTTCAAGAGGACTGTGACATCAGCGTTTTAACAATGGCGTGAGAGGCTTTATTTGTAGGTCCTGTGAGCCATGCACCCCTGTCTTCCTGGATAAGGCTTTGTAACCAGAGTCCATCCCACAGAGCTCAACTCTGTTGGACTGCAGGGAGTGAGGAGCTGGCCTGGGTGCTCCGTGGTGCCTCTGCGCACCCCTTCAGCGTGAGCTGTAGGGCTCCTCCGCACCCTCTCCCGCCTCACAGGCAATGTCACTGGCTGTTTTCTCTCCCTTCCTTTTAGCTGGTAGTTCCAGGGTAGCCTTGCTAAGCCAACAGCTTAGCCCCAGGCCCCTCCACGCCTCCTCCCACTCCTGCGGTGCAGCGGGTTCCCCTCCCCTCCCCTGTGATGGCCTTCACCCTCTTTGTCTTCAGCCTCATCCTTGCTCCCCCTGCCCCTTCATTTCAGCTGCCCCTGGAACTCAGGCCCCTCCTCTCCTGTGCTTCGCACATCTTTCCCTGTGCTAGACTCTGGTCCGTCTGTCCCTGTTGCCGCAGCTCGCCGACGCCTCACTTCCTCCCAGGAAAGCTGCGCTTTGTTCCCATTCGGGGTCCTGTATCTTCTCCCCACAGCGCCCTGAGTCACCTCACATCTGGATGTGGTCTCTTCCTTCTGCCTCTCCTCTGCACTGAGCTCCCAGAGACCGTGGCAGGCTCCTCTGGGGCCCTGCTGCTGGCCCCTGGCTCTGAGCCTGGCGCCAAGCGAGTGCTGAGTAGCTGCGCGGCCCTGAGGAGCCAGGCCTGCGGGACAGCCGCAGTCATCAGCTAGTGCTTGCCTCTCTCTGCCTCCTTCCACTCCTGTTCTCTGCTTCCGTCACTTGTCCTGGAAGCACCACCCTCCCCAGGTTTACTCCCAGCCGCAGCAGAGCAGGGTCAGGCTTTGTCAGGGTTGTGGCTGAGGTGCGCCGGTGCTCAGCTCTGAAGACTTGTGAGGTGTGAGGCAGCTCCTCTGTTACTGATGTTGTGAATTCTGCAAACGACTGGAGCTCTTTGAATAGTCACCACCGATTTCCAGGCACCCGTCTCCTGCTGTCATTGTCATGCAGGTGTTGACTGAGGAAGGGCTGGAGTCAGAGTGAGCACGGGAGAGGCAAGCGCCTGTCATAGGTTGCAGCCCTCTTCTGTAAAGAGCCAAGTAGCAACCATTTTCGGTTTCACAAGCCACATATGGTCTCACAGCTACCAGGAGACATATGAAATTGAGCGATGTGTGACAGGACAAACAGTATTTGTGAAATAGGTGGCAGGCAGTGTGTGGCCCAGAGCTGAGGTCTGCCACTACCAAGTGCAAAGGTAGTGCGTGCCTCCCACAGTCTCAGGTACTGAGGCTCCGAGGCAGGCTGGCTTGTCATCTGTGGCTCTGTCTTGCAGGGTTCCAGGAGGGCTATCCCTACCCCTACCCCCACACTCTATACCTCATGGAGACAGCCGACTTGCAGCCACACCGCTTTCATCCAGAGCAGCTGCGGGCCAAGATGATCCTTTTTGCTTTTGGCAGTGCCCTGGCACAGGCACGGCTCCTGTACGGGGTATGTATGTGGGGAGACTGCTGAGCTGCTCTGCTGTGTTGGTCTCCTGGCTTAGGGACATTGCTTAGAGCCTGAAGGGCCCTGTGGAGACGCACTTACCTGTGTGGGGCCAGCTTTTCTCAGACATGCAGCTTACGAGGTGGCAGTGCGTCACATGGCGCTCAGCTGCAGTGAGTGGCGGGCGAGGATGACACCAGGGCCCATGCCCTAGGTGCTATAGAACAGAGGCTGTGTGCTTGTCCCAGTGGCTGGGGGAAGCAGGAACAAAGGCCTCTATGCACAGGGGAGCCACCTAGGAGCCAAGACTGGCTCGGGGGAGGGCACAGAGGTGCTGCTGGGGTTCCTTAGGGCATCTGCAGGAGGGAGGAAATTCTCACTATCTTTTCCATCCTCCTGGTCTGGCATTAAGTCGGGTTGGAGAGATGTAATTAGCTATCTGAGTGGGAGTGGGCTGGACCGTGCCTGTATTGGGCAGATCTGCTGCGATCCAGGCATTGATCAGGGTTCTTGACACTAGTGATTTTCAAAATGCAGATGCCTCTGGGAGCTTATTGGAAATGCAGATTCCCAGGCCTGCTGTCAGAGAGAGGCCTGGGCTCTGGCTTAGCATTCAGTGTTTAAACAAGCTGAGTAAAGCCGAAACAACCTCAAGTTTGAGAACTCTGCACTCACATTTGAAGAACATGGTCTGATTCATACCTGGGAAAGCCCATGTGGCAGACACTTGGTTCGCTTGGCACCTGAGGAAGCTCAGGCCCAGAGAGGCTAAGTAACTTGCTAAAGGTCACACAGCTAAGAGATTGTCAGGTTGCCTGGCAGGGTAGCTGGGTGGAAGAGTACTTGCTTAGCCTGTGCAAAACCCTGCATCCGACGCCCAGGGCAAGTTAGAGGTCACTGGCATCTTTGTGTGACCTGGTGTCTTTCTGATCCTCAGGAGACTAGCTCTATTTCTGTCCTCTTATGCTTTCTGAAGGCTGTGGAGGCTTAGAATCTTGCCTGAGATCCCACAGCTGCTGAGTGGGGAAGCGAGGGTCACACTGAAGGGTGTGCTGCCTCCCAGCTCAGGCGGTGGAGGGAGGGGAGCAGTGTGACCACTAATTGCCACCCAGTTGGGTAGGGAAGGAGGCCTTCTCCACCCCCTCTAGTACAATTTGTTCCTGAGGATATACGGTTGGGCAATTATGGGAAGAGCCTCCATGTAAAAGGTAAAATTGCTGAGAAATTTATGTACTACCTGCAGTTTTATTGATCTGTAGAGGAGATAAGAGTCAATACAGAATCTCAGCTAACACTTCCAGGTATTTTCCTTTTTATTTATCTTTCGTGCAGCTAAGAGCAGGTATTTCTAAGGCCGGCACCCCGGTGTGATCCGTGCCGAGGTCTGCCATTGCCTCTGCCTACGGCAGATCGCCCTGGGGGCAAATCAGCAGCATTGTGAATCAGGAATGCCTGGCCGTGTGGGGCCTGCACTTTGAGTCTTTGTCCAGAAAGTAGCATTCACCAACCTGAATTGCTACAGAGTCTCTCTGTAGGTTGACCAGGTGATTTATCATCCAAACAGGGACACAGCTGAGAATGAGAGTTACTGCCGTCAGATATACCAGGGCCCCAGGGACCCGGAACGACAGGGTTTTAAACAGTGTAACTAGTAGCCTCAGTTTGATTCTGGTTCACACCTCATGGGTGATCTTGAGCAACTTATGCCACCTCTTTGGACCTCAGTTTCCTTAGCTGTTAAGTGGGAATGTGCCTCAAAGTTTGGGAGAATAGAGAGCCTGTTGAGATGTCTTGTGCCTAGGGTGTCTTCAGTGTGTGGTTTTAGTATGGTCACTAGTATGAAGACTAGGTGACTGTCCTCCACTCACTAGAAGATTTGGTGAAATCCTGGGCCACATGGCTTCGGTGGACTGCAGGGACATGGCCCGTTCTGAGTTGCAGTCAGAGTGTGAAGCTCAAGTGACTGGTGGCTGGTGTAGATGGTCCAGGATTCTGGGCACTTGGAAGCAGGGTGCCTGAGCTACTTTGGGGTCCAGTGACACACATCTTTGTGACTTCTGACAAGTCATTTTACCTCAGCAAGTCTCAGTTTCTTTGTCAAATAGGATGAGAACTGAGTGGCATTATTCATGGATCCTCCTCGTTACATTTGATAGTTGATGTCACTGTCACCTTGAGCTTACAAGATTGTCATTAACCTCCCAGTCGCCTGCCCAAGCCCTGTGGCCAGGAACTGCCTTGTAGTGATGGAAACTCTCAGTTTCCTGTGCTGGAGGTGAAGTGTCAGCTTCTTGGGGCTGTAAGCACGGGAGGCCGCCGTGAGCCAGGGATGAGGGCGGGCCGGCCCTAGAGAGCCCTGAGTGCCTCCTGTCTGAAGGCGAGCTGTGAGATGGGAGCCGGTGAGTGGCAGGGCAGAGTGAGAGCCTTCCCAGTCCACGCTGCTCCTCACAACGTTCCTTTTCCTCTCAGAAGGACAGCAAGGTCTTGGAGCAGCCTATAGTTGTGCAGAGTGTGGGCACGGATGGACGGGTCTTCCAGTTCCTCGTGCTACAGTTAAACACCACAGATCTGGCCTCGAATGAGGGCATCAAGAACTTGGTCTGGGTGGACTCGGACCAGCTCCTCTATCGGCACTTCTGGTGTCGCCCCGTGATCAAAAAGAAGGTGGTAGTGGTGAGTGTCCCTGTCTTCAGCCAGGCGCTTGGATCTCGGGGCACCCAGGGGATGCTGAGGGACGAGGGCCTGGCTCAGCAGTGGTTGAGTCTGTTGTGCCGGACCTGAGGTGTGATGGGCATGAGCGCAGGGGGCGATGGTGCTGTTCGGCAGTGCCTGTGGGTGCTGCACAAGCCCTGGGCAGAGTTGCTCAGTGGACTTGGGGGCCCTCAGCGTGCCGGCATGCTTTCTCTTTGCGCAAACTGTCACTGCCCTGTGTGAGCACACAGCCTGCTCCGCCTCTCTGTTCTTAGTGTCCTCGCCTTCCTGTCATTGGTCCTCCAGAATTTGATCACAGCACCAGGCATGTTGCTGTGGTCAGTTGGCCACCACTTCGTCCTGCAGCGGCAGCCCTGCCATCCCACCCACCACCCGACCCTTGACCTGCCTGCCTTCATTCCTGCTGCCCCACCACAGCTGCCTGTGCTGTTCTCGGAGGCTTTCTGGCCCATTCCCGCCCTTCCCTGTGTGCGAGTGAGTGAACTAGTCACTTCCCCCACTTTTTCAGCTGCCTTTTCCAGCTCTGCCTGGGCTCTGTCACTTTTAGTTCTGTCTGAGCACCTGTCAGCTCTTTGAGGAAGCAGATTCTTGCCCTGCCGAGTCTCCCACACGGGGGCCCAGGTGCAGCATGAACAGCATGAATGGGGCATCCCTAACTCTGGGACCCAACAGTTAGCAGAGCACTTGTCCTGTAGTTAGGGAGGGGCTGTGCCGGCAGATGGCTTCAGGAGTGCTCTGGCCTCCTGGCTACTGTCCTTCTGAGTCTCCTCACTGCCAGCTGTTCAGGACCCTTCTTGGTGCTTGAGTGATAGCGAAGGAAAGGAAATGATTGTCTGGGCACTGCAGATAGACCTGTGACCAGCTAATTTTAATGGCTACTGTTAAGCCTAGTACAGGGTCTTAATGGGCTCTGTTCTTTTCAGGAGCCGGTTGGGCCTGTTGACTTCCAGCCAGAGACCTTCAGGAAGTTCTTAGCTCTGTATCTGCACGGATGTCCTGAGCCCTGACGTTTCTCCTCCTAAGGAGCCTGCACTCTGGGCGGTGCCCAGGGTCTCTGTGTCCACTTGGCCCGGTACTTTCTCTGGCAATAAAGAGCCCTTGGCTGCCCTGGAATGTGTTGATGTGAGGTACAGTGCCACGTTGTCCCTGCACAGCTCCAGGCCGTGGAGTGTCCTGCCTCAGCCCGTCATGACCTGGGTGAGCTCATTTGCTTGAGTTTGAGTTTCTTCACCTGAAACCTGGGCTAGCATGACCTTTAAGACTGCCTGCCCACTGGCAGATGTTCCGCATGGTGCCAAGCTCTTATCAGACCACACACATCAGGCAGTACTCCACGGTGCCTGTGGGGATCTGAACAGAATATTCAAGGCAGATAGTTTCCTGCTAGATAAGCTGAGCACCCCCAGTCACATGGTCTCTGCTTGTTCCAGGGTCATTGGGTCCTGGCTGGACGCCACGTGGCCATGCCAGGCACTTTGGTGTAGTTCTTATCTTCACACGGCCTCAGGGTCTGGTAGGTGCAAGGCTCCAGGGACCCTGTGCAGGGCCAGGGTCATTCTCTGAGCTCTTTGGAGGCCAGGGAGCACTCTTCCCCTTGGTCGACAAGGGTCTGACTAGTAAGGCTGCACTGGAGCCTGTTGGGGCAAGTTGGGGCTGGGGAGCAAACCCACTGCTCCCTGCTAACCTCGAGAGGCAGAGCAGCCACCAGTGCGCGTTGTCGAAGCCTTGTACCTGCTGTCCGCATTGCACGCGGGGATCTGCGCACGTAACGAGGGAGCCGCAGCTCCTCCCCTAGGAGCTCCCTGCCTGTTCGGTGGCCACGGATGGCAGCCAGTCCCCTTTACCAGGCCTCCCTGTAAAGGACACTCTTTCCCTGCACCTCATAGGTGACAGCACAGTGGGGAGGGCTGTACCTGAACACATCTTGGAGGAACTGCTCATGGCTTTCCTGCATCAGCCAGGGCTGTGTGATTCTGGGAACAAGGACAACTCGGACACAGTCCCTGGCTTAGAGGAGGCAGGTACTTCACTGGGACTCAGGATGCCCCAGCCTACAAGGGTTTCTGAAAGAAGGGCATTTGAGCTGGGTTCCACAGGGCAAGCAGGAAGGGCAAACACCTAGGTAGGCATAACTGTAGGGTTGTGCATAGCTGGGTAGGAGAGGCCCATGAAAGAGGGCGCATGTGGGCTTGGGCTCCTCCCAGCTGAGGCGCTGCTGCCTGTCCACACCATTTTTCTCCACTTGATCCCTGGGCCCGTGGCGCTCTTGCTCTCCTCCCCTGCCACCTTCCCAGGTTTCTGATCACTGAGCACTTGAGGGCCTAGCCATTTACTCAGATGACCCAAAGCTTCTGGGGCCACCCAGTGCCACAATGCCAGAGATTCCCAGGTCACTCCAACCCAGACCCGCCTGCTGCCTTTGCTGCAGGAGATCTCATCAGTGTGTCAGTTTGCTTGCCCAGTTCATCTCCACTGCAGAAGGCACGGCCATGCTGCTGGGTCTGTGCTGCTGCATTTCAGCACTACACCGAGAACTGCTCAGCCAGTCTGTGAGGACTGGAGGGGAGAAGGAAGATCTGGAGGCCCAGAAACGAGCCGTGTGCATCGGCAGGACAGATGGGCAGGGAACCCAGAGGTGGCAGACTGTCCAGACAGCTGCTGCCAAGGGCTTGGGCTCTACAGGAGGAAAGGCCAGCACAGGGCATGACAAACCTTTACTTTTTCATGCCCCTGCCATCACGTGGTTCATTTCCCTCCCCACCCCCCATGCTAGCCCAGGCCTGGCAGAGCAGAGCCAGCTGCCTCCACCCCTTGCAGTGAGAACTGTACACTGCAGCTCCAGGGAGGAGCCGCAAAGGGCCAAGCCAGCTCTACCTGCACCATTCAGCTTCTCTGCCTCTCTGCCCAGTCCCTGTATCCAAGCCCTGGCGATCTCTGGAGTGTCCTGGCTCCACCTTCTAGAGTCTGGAATTTTCAAGTGATATCCTCAACATCACCATGGAGGCTGGGGCAGGTTCCTCTGTCATGAGAGGCAAGCTGAGTGGCCACAGCTCCAGCAGAAACCGGGGATCAAACTCATGACCTCGTACTTGCCAGGCAGGCGCTTATGCCACTGAGCTAAATCCCCAGCCCTAGCAGCAGAAACCATTTCTGCAGGCTGCAGCAGCATTCCCGGAGGGCCCTTTCTGCTTCCAGGCCCGAGGTTGGCCATCCCGCTGGAGCGAGGGCCTTGTGGACATGAGGACTAGCAGGGAATCAGTGGCCATGCTGGGCTCTTCCACCCCTCCAGGTGAGCTACCCTTGATTGAGGAAGGCCAGGCAAGACTCCCTCCTCCAGGGCACTCATGCTGGTGCAACGCAGAGCCCGGGCTGCCCCTGTGTCTCAGGCTGGGGCTGGGCAGTGAGGGAAACAAGAACCAGTCCTGTCCAAAGACCCCATGAACAACCCTGGCTGAAACTGTTGTGAAAGGAACTAGAAGGCCACTGGGGGGCCCAGTGGGGCTTCATTCTCTACCAGTTCCTGTCTGCAGGAACACAGGTGGCGTCTGCTGTGAACATGCGCCCCATCTTCCCCCTTCCCCAGCCCCAGGGTGTGCAGCAGATGCACAAGGCCAGGGGTAGACAGCCTGAGTTCCATCTGTCCAACAGAGATGTCCCCAATGGCTCAAAGACGTCTACACCAAGGAAAAGCCTGAGGAGTGAGGAGGTTCCGGGTGAGGAGGCCAGAACCAGGCAGTCTTCCAGATCCCATCCCAGCCTCAAGGCTGCTCCCCAAATCAACAGCATCATGGTTTCAGTGCACACCACGCTGACAGCTGTTCCCAGCTCCGTGAGGCAGGTAGCCACTACCTGATTCAGGGAGGGGCCTCAGACAGTGGCATGTTAACCTGCCACCTAGCAAGTAGCATCAAAGCACCTGGTCTGGTGCTTGGCAGCCGGCCAAAGGTGGACACGGCCACAGCTCACTTGCGCACTGCCTTCTCCCACCCTGTCAGGCCTGGGAAGGAATCCTCGGCACTCTGGCACTAACACTGCTGATGACCGGCCCGGCTGCGCACCTCATCTCAACCCTCCGTGTGTCCTGCCTGTGTGACAGCTGAGAATGGCTCCCCCCAGTACTTTTTCTACATCCAGCTCAGGCTGTGCTACCCTGAAAATCCTTCAAGGGGTCTCCACTGCCTTCAAAGTAAAGAAAACCATCTTCCCGGGGCCCAGCACCCACAGACCCTCCAGTCAACACTTTGGTTCTCTCTACACCAGGCCCACGGCGTGCTGCCCAAGCACAGGGTCATCCTGACCCCTTAAGTCCCGCAGAGGACATGGCAGCAGGAAGCTCTTCATCCAGAACTAGAGCTGAGCACACTGGCACATGCCTGTGATCTCAGCATTCGGGGAGCCTGAGATAGGAAGATGCCAAGTTCAGGCCCAACCTGGGCAACCTGGTGAGATGCTGTCTCAAAGCATTTAGGGGAGTCCCCCTTCCTCCAGGGACATAGCTCAACACGAAGGCCCTGGGAGTGGAAGGGGGACACATGGGGGGACTGTTTTTAAGACCTGAGAAAGGGAACCTGGCTCTCAGACTATTTGAAGTAAGGCCCATTCCCAAAGGGCCGTGATTCTCCATAAAACTTTGGACCAAGCTTGCCCAGGGAGAAGGCAGACACCAGCTACAAAAAGGAGAATCTTGTTCATACCAGGAATAAACTCAGTGCCCAAAGAGTCACCTTGCATTCTGTGATCAGTGTAATAAACTCCAACCCACATTCCCCAAGCATGTCAGGAAGGGCTGCGGAAAAAAGATGTCCCTTTAATAAAACGTTATCAACATATATCGTACACAAACTACAATGTATCATAATTACTTTTTTTTCCTCTCGTAATTCAGAACCAGACTACAAGGTAAGAAAAAACACAGAAACAGCTACAATGTTCCCAATAATCCGCACAAGGTCTTTTTTCAGGCAGATGGTATCTCACATAATATGATATACATGGATCAGAAAGGGACAGTAATAAAACAAAGACCAGCTACAAGGGGCGGGGGAGGGGGAGTGTAAATGTACAAAGAATTTGGTGTCTTCCAGGTGAGACACAAAGGTTCCCATGGGGGTGAGGTGTCATAGTCACCCCTCCTAGGAGGGGACAGGCTCCATCATTGAGTTCGTTGGTTTTTGAAAATAAAAACAGGACTGGAAACAGTACGTCTGTTTGGTGCTCCCCCCACCCCCCACAGCTGTGTGAAGTCTTCCGTCCAGTTCCAAGCATTTATAGAACAGTTCTGGTCAGCAGCCCATCTCTGGAAAAGGAGGGCAAAAAAAGAGGGGAGCAAGGGGTGGGGGAGAAAAGAACCCCAAATTCCAGCCCACTCTGCCCATGCACACAGCCACGATGCGAGGCGGCAGGCCCAGAATGCAGACGTCGCGGTTTCCAAGTCCCAGGTCATAGCCATCCTGTCGGTGGTGGCCGCACCTGCTCTGCCCAGGGCCACCAACCAGCCGGCAGGATTCTCGCTGGGAGGTCAGGGTGGGGCTGAAGAGGCAGGCGGGGGAGAAGGCTGTCCTGGGGACACAGTGCATGTGCCGGTCAGGTCAGGTCACAGCAGCAGCGGCCGTGGGGATCCTGGAGGGGTCAGTCGGGGCCCGTGGGATGGGCTGCGTCCAGAGGTTCAGGTGCGCTGTTGTTGCCAGAAACAAAGCAGGTTCCTGTCTGCCCCTGCCTGTCCCACAAACCAAAATCCCCAAGCAAAGAAGGGCGACTTCCTTTCGATTCCTTCCCCAAAAGGTTTTCAAAGAAACTACACATTGTGAACTGTGCAGTTCAGTTACTGTTTTTAGATGGCTACGAAGACTGTGGCATCTCACACACAGACTAGCTCTCCTGTGGCAGGGCCTGGGGACAGAGGGCCAGCAGGGCTTGTGGTTTCTTCTTTTTTCTTTTGCCTTTTCCTTTTTTTATTTTTTATTTTTCAAAGAAAGCAAAGAGGTTGGCTGAGGTGGGGGCTTGCTAGAAGCTTCCATTTTTAAAATTTTTTTCCCAAAGAAATCCCTCCTGAAAACAAATTAAAAAAAAAAAAATCCCAGCAACAGTAAAATCCTAAACAAACAAACAAACAA